AGTGGGGCAGCCAGCGCCCCATTCATCCTCATGGACCAGCTCCCATATTGCTTCTTTTTCTTATGGGTTTCCTCTCAGATTCCTGCAAGGCTTTTGGCGTGAGTTGCCTTGAACCAAAGCCTGACCAGCAGTTCATCCTTGACCAAGTGATATATTCAGGTCAGAGAACATGAAACTTCCCAGTATTTATAGAACTCTATCTCTTGATTGTTTAAATGTTTAGGATCCGATCTGATTTTCAACGGCATGTTTTTAAGAGTTCGTTAGCCGCCCTGTGCTCTATGTGAGGAAGGCAGGGTGCAAGAAATAACTAACAATTATAATAAATAACCACAGCAAATCATCAGGAGGGAAAGTGGGTGAGCTAAATCTCTGTGTCAAAGGGATAGAATTGCAGTGGACTCATGTGTGTATATATTTAATATTAGGAAATTCTACACCTACAAGTGACCTCCATCCAACGACTGCCAAACTCAGGGAATTTCTTAATTCCCAGAACTGTGGGGTTTGCGAGGTGCAAGACTTCATTCTTCTCACTGGAGCTTTTTGTTGCTTTGTGACAGCTGTCTAGGTTGAGACAGGCACAGGAGCCTCGAGACAGCACAATGTTGGCAACTCAAGGAGGCAAAAGGCAGGCAACCCATATTGCTCTTCTGTACCTCCAGCTAGCCTTCCCTGCCTCAAACCCCTTGGCGCTACAGAGGATCTGTAGCGGAGAAGTTGGCCTTTGAAATATGTGAGAAGTGTCTGTGGTCCACGGAGGGCAACCGATGTCAGTCTACATGGCCTCCCTTTAGAGCAGGGGTCAGCAACCTTTTTCAGCTGCGGGCCGGTCCACCGTCCCTCAGACCATGTGGGGGGCCGGACTATATTTTGAATTTTTTTAAAAAACGAACGAATTCCTATGCCCCACAAATAACCCAGAGATGAATTTTAAATAAAAGGACGCATTTTACTCATGTAAAAACACACAGGTTCCCGGACCGTCCGCGGGCCAGATTGATAAGACGATTGGGCTGGATCCGGCCCCCGGGCCTTAGGTTGCCTACCCAAGGCTACTGCCAGCAAACCAGTTCCTTTGGGTACTGCTGCCACCTAGTGCTCAGCCCATAGAACAACACCTTTCCTACCATTTCAAGAGGGTCTCTGCTAACAGCTTCCAAAATGGCTGAGTCTCGCTGCCAGCGCTTTGTGTCCATCCACCAATGCGCGGTGTGGATCAGAGCAAGGCAAGGAGTTGGGTCATTTGCTTCCACAGCAATTAATGGGTTGGCAGCTGCTTTTTCTCATGAGGCGGTAGAGGGCTGCCCCCAATGGCATTGGGTTTTGCATGCAGGTCACGTCACATTTAATTCCTGGCATCTTCAGAGAAGGGTTGGGAACATCCTGCCTGAAACCCTGGAGAGCCATTCAGCAGCTGGTTTAGACCAGGGAACCTTTGACCCTCCAGGTGTTGCTGAACTACAACTCCCACCGGCCTCAGCAAGTCTGGCCAAGAAGCAGGTCTGTTGGGACTTGAAGACACAATGTTCTGGCTTTCCTAACTTGGACTCTACACCTCCCTTGTCTTGGTCAATCCCTCCTCCCTTATTGCATCCACTTTTTGCACCTGTAAGCTTCCCTTGTCCTCTTAATTCCAAGTTTTAAAGACATTATTAGCCCCTTCTCTTTCTGGAGAAAAACCAGCAGCAGCCCAAACTTCCTCCCTGCTTCCTGTTCCCTCCCCCCCCCCCACAAAATGATCACAAGAACCATTTTATTTGTTTCTGCATGCTAAAGCCTTCCTTGTTGCTTTGTCTGATGCCATGGGCTCTCATGGACTACAAAGAATCACCTAAAATTATCAGGCCATCCGAAGGACAGAGACTGCCTGCTGCATTGAGGCCAACTAGCAGCATTTAATGTGCTAAAAGCCTAAAGCACATTTCTTTAGCTGATACTAATGCAGAGTGTCCAAGGAGATACCTGCACAAAGCAACCAACCCCCTTACTATTTTGCCTCTGAAGAAATTTGGAATATAGATTCTCAGCTTTGCAGGGCAACCAGAGTATCACTGAATACATACAGTCCTCAACAGGTCTTTGTTTGTGCAGGAGTTCACAAGCTTTCAACATACACTGGAGTTCAATTTATTATTTAACTGTGATTTTTATTCTGCCTTTTGCAGCTGCACTTCCTCAAGCTCCCCCGCCCCAAACAATCCTGGGAAAATGGGACTGGCCCAAGGTCATATTATACTTTCTTCATACTCACAAGAGACAAAAAAGTGCCCACAGCATTAGGTTTTAATAGGAGCAGCCAACCAGGATTTATAAGCCTCTTCTTAGCAAACTCCTACTTGAAAGGCTCTAGCACACGGCTACATCACTAGAGGGCAACACTTTGGTTTTAGAGAAATATAGTCAGGCAAAGAGCAAGGAAGAAATTCGTAGCAGGAATTTTCCCCTCTCAGTTGAGATGACACAATTATGTCTCACTTTGAAGCAACCAAACTTACAACAGAACATTCGACCCAATCTGATTCTGCTTAAAGCTGGTTTCCACCCGTTTGTGTATGTTGCACCATGCTTGAGGAAAAAAAGCAAGTAAATTTTCACTTTTGAGAATATTTCTGAGACCTCTGCCACCTGAGAAATTCACAACATAAAATTATTTGCCTGCTTTGAAAAATGAATTAGGTATACTAAAGAATCACTGGTGGCATCTCTGCCTGTGATGGCAGCTTAAGCACAATTTCAGGTGTTGGGGATACAAAAGTATGGAGCAGGTGAAAGTACACAGCCCCTTTCTCTCCCAGTTTCCAGCAATCCTTCAAAGCTTTGTGTGAAACCCCACGTGCCTGGCTAGTTTGTGGATTCCCCTGGAACTTTGCTGAGAAACACACAAGAGGACTTCCGGGGTGGCGCTACCGGCAATGGCGGACTCCCTCTGAACTGGAGGGACTAGCTCCGCGGGAAACGGGTCTTCTCCGCTACGGCGAAGCGGGGACCCTCTTAAAAATCACAGGCGGATGAAGCCTGTGACCATGGGACTCGGCGGGCACCTTTAGCGCCCCCCCAACCTGCTAAGGAACCCACTAACAGGCTCCGAAGCGAAGAGGGGGAAGTGGCGCGGTGCTGTGAGTCAACTGCTATTTCCGTGGAGCGAAGCCGCATAGCCGTTGCCGGAGAGCGCTGCCTTTTTCCTGGGACAATTTGGACTTTAAAATAAGCACCCGTGAGTACTTAGACTTTGAACAATTGGACATCAAATAAGGACTAGCGAGCAGGAAAGAATTGGATTTTAAAAAATTCTACTCTCATTTGGTACGGAACGGGAAGGTCTAAACAGGAAGTCAGCCTTCCGTTCTTTTGTAAACAGAATAAAGCAAAGACAATTTAAACTAGAGTTCAGAAAATCGTTTTTAAAAGATTGGATTTCACCATTTAAAATTGTGGAACCCCCCTTCGACAGCAGGAGAAGGGGGGGATCTTTTTGGACTGTTTAAAGTGACTTTAAAGTAAAGTAACTTTCCTCCGTCCTGATCCTGGAGCGGGGTGTCAGGATTGACGTTTGAAGTTCATTGACCAAAGACAAGTGTTTTTGACAGATAGCTAAAAGAAGAGAAACATAGCGATTCCATTGTTCCCTTTCGCATTTTAAAGGAATATATATGGACAAAATATCTTTAAAAAGGAAACTTTGTTGCAAGAACAAATAGAAGTCTTCCCCCTAGGGGGAGTCTGTGAAACTGTAACTAACTCCAGGGAGCCGGCAGCTGTCACAGATTACAACCGTGGGAACAGGCATCTGACCTTGCAGGACAATGTATTCAGAAGCTTGTTGTGTGCTCTCTATAAAACAAATGCCCTACTGGAACAATTACATGAGAAGGTGAATTGGATGGCGACTTCGACTAGAAATTTTGAACAGGCAGTGGGAAACTTTAAACAGACAGTGGGAAAATATGTGGAGCCCACTCAGGAATTAAATCAGGAGTGTGTCTTGACAGAACAGGCCCAACAGGAATATGATTTTTCGGATTTGACAAATGAACTTGGAAAAAGCCAGATTTGGAAAGGAAAAGTTTGGCTTGGTTTGGAAATGGGGGGCTGGATTGACCCCCCTATGCTGGGATGTTTGGACTTTTCAAATATGGCAATGGGCCGTGAGATGTTTGGGACTGTGGGGGCTCTTAATTTTGGAGGGTCTTTGAAACATGCTTTTAACTACTACATGGAATTCACTGTTGAACATGGAAAAGGGGCTGATCCGTTGAGAAGGGTTAAAAACATTGTCAAGCTGGAGTTACCACGAGCAGGAGACAAGGGAAAATACAGTTACAAATATGAAGAAGCGCCGCAGAAGGGACATGGAAGAGACTTGAGGGCCTCGGATATAAGGTTGCCAGGTTAATGGGCTAGATCGACGGGAATAAGGACTGACAAAACCCGGAACCAGGAGGAAGGGACGTTGGATGAAGATTGGATTTGTTTGTATCTCTTTTCTCTACTATTAGAACTGTTTTATAAAATTGATGAATGTTAGAAAAATGTTGAAATAAAATTACTTGGCTTTAGCAAAGATGTTTAAAGAATTATGAAAGAATATTATGGTTATGAGAAGTTGGTAAGGATAAGATCTAAGTTTTAAGCTTTAAGGTTTATTTTATTATAGGAAGATAAGATCAAAACAGATTAGGGTAATGTAATGACAGAATATTATGAAACATGGAAAGGATTTGCTGGGATAATTAATAGCTAGGATACAAAGAAAGGGAGGAGGAGGAGGTCTAAGAAAGAAGGCAATGACAGTTAAGGATCTGAAAATAATGAATTGGTTTTTAAATGTTTTTAAAGGTTTGTGATGTATTTTTGTATTTTTCTTTTTTTTCTGTCACTTTTTCTTATTTTGAATTTTTACTCATGGTGGGAAGGGGTTCTTTTTTTTCCTTTTTCTATTTTGTCAACTATTTTTATTTTGTACTTTCTTCTGCTTCTATTTTATTTTTTTATCTTTTGTAACATTTTGAAAATTTCAATAAATATCTTAAAAAAAAAAAAGAAACACACAAGAAATCTGTTTAGGCCCTTTAATCTGTCCAAGACAGTGTGCCAAGACACAAATGATAAAACATTTTTGCATTTTTACAGCAAATAAACAAAAAAACAATAAAGGAAAAACCCTACAGAAATGTATAAGGAAGTTAATTTTGTACATGGGGTAAAACGTTATAAATTCAGGACAAATGCACTGACACAGGTCAACTCCCACATTTCTTGTTGCTTTTTAAAAGTTCATATGCGTGGCCAGGCAGTCAGATGGCTGTTTCTTCATTGAAAGGAATTTTTCCAAGTAGCTCTTAAGAGGGACTGCAACGCATCTTGGAATGTCCTCAGAAGGCTCCGTCATATTGGTAGTGACAGAATTAAAAACCCCAGAGTCCTTTCAGATATAGGGACAAGCCACTCAGTCATCAAATTTTATCTTTTTCCCTTGTGGTTTGTGGTCGCCACCTCCTCCTCTGCCTCCCCTGAAGCCGCCGCCTCTGCCTAAAAGAGATAGAGTAATTTTTAAAAATCCAAGCTCTTCACACACTGCCATTATTCAAATATGAAAGGACAAACATTATCAGCACAAATACCTCCAAATCCTCTGCCACCACCCCGTCCGCCGAAGCCTCCTCTGCCGCCCCGGCCTCCTCTGCCGCCACGACCGAAGCCGCCGCCACCGCGTGGCCCATCGCCCTTGGGCTTGGCAAAGTCAAGGGTCACTTTGTTTCCATCAATCTCTCCATCCTCCATGGCTTCCTTTGCTGCTTTGGCTTCTTCTGGGGAGCTGAAGTCCACAAAGCCAAATCTAGGAAAGAGCAGGGGACAGTTTCAACACTCTACCCTGTCGCTGAAGAACTGATTCAGATGGAGGGGTCTTTAATACCTGCAATCATCATTACAACTCCCTTTGGAGGAATTCTAGGGCCAGATGAGACACATCCAAGCAGTGCATCAAAAAAAAACTGAGAGCAATACAAGCACAGACACAGCAGGTGCCCTTCTGGGTAGAAAGAGGACAGACTCAGACTGTCCCAAGTTATTTGCAATACACCCCTGAGGCATCTAATTTCCTAGCCCACCTTCCTGCCAAAGGGACTCAAGGGATGTTAAACTCAGTTTGCTGACAGAACATGCCTGCTGAAACAGGACCTTCAACCCTAAATGCAGGTAAGCTAACAGGGACGCGGGTGGCGCTGTGGATTAAATCACAGAGCCTAGGACTTGCTGATCAGAAGGTCGGCAGTTTGAATCCCCGCGACGGGGTGAGCTCCCGTTGCTCGGTCCCAGCTCCTGCCAACCTAGCAGTTTGAAAGCATGTCCAAGTGCAAGTAGATAAATAGGTACCACTCTGGCGGGAAGGTAAACGGCGTTTCCGTGGACTGATCTGGTTCGCCAGAAGCAGCTTAGTCAGGCTGGCCACATGACCCAGAAGCTTTCTGCGGACAATTGCCAGCTCCCTTGGCCTATAGAGTGAGATGAGCGCTGCAACCCCAGAGTCGGTCGCGACTGGACCTAATGGTTAGGGCTCCCTTGTACCTTTAAGCGCCAGCTAAGGTTATGCTCAAAGTCAATTGAACTACAATAAATATTACATTTAATGCTGGTGTGGTAGTTCTGATTTCTGCATGGCTACACAATGCTGCTCAAATGCCCTGGCCCTGAAATGAAGGAATATTTCCCCCCTAACCTTGAGACTAAAAGTCTCCTGCTCTACTCTCTAAGCTTCTGACATCAACAGGCTACACTTGTGAAAGCCACATAGATGGGGATTTTGCCCGTCCTAGATGTAGATATCCACAAACTTAACTGCAGGCTGCACTGCATGCTATGAATCTGCAGGCAGGCAGGCAAGTTGCAGGCTTGTCCCACAGCAATGACAGTTGCTCATCTGAAGCAGACAAGCCACCCAAGGTCAGGGCTGCAGTTATACTCTTCTTCTCGTGCGAATCCATAGCCTGCTACTGGATTATCAGCAGGAAGGAGCTCATTGAGAAGGCAGGAAGGCTCCTGGGTTTACATAGAGAAGCTCAGAGCAGAGGCCTAGTGGAGGGTGGGATCAAGGGGAGGTCAGCAGCAGTGAGACTTTTGTACTTGCCATCATGTCAAAAACTCTGGGACAGAGGCAGCTTTACACCTACCCTTTGGATGAGCCAGTATCTCTGTCAGTGACTATTCTTGCAGTAACGGAGCCTTCAAACGACTCTTTCAAGGTTTCTTCTGTTGTTTCCTCAGACAAGCCTTTGACAAACAGTGTTTTGCTTTGCTCTGAATAAAAAACAAACATAAAATTTTAGCCCTGTTGATACAGCAAGGGCTAATTAAAACACCACCCCCACCCTCAAATGATTTTAAGTTAGGGCACGGACAAAGACTTACGTCCAAATCCTCCTCTAGCATTGAAATTCCTGTTCTGTCCCCCTGGTGTGCTGAATTCCAGCCTGATTGTCCGGCCTTCAATTTCTGTGTTGTTGAAGGAATTCATTGCTTCTTTTGCATCCTCAGTTGTGGGGAAGTCTATAAATGCGTACCTGCAGAAAGAGAAGCCAGAGTCAAGTTAAGAAACTGAGTCACAGGGGTAGATGGGGAAACAGCTTCAGCCCAAGCCAGTGGTGGGTGTAGCCAGAGGCAAAAGCGAGCCCAACAATGCATGTTATTTCCTTCGTTTAGCAGCCTAGCTTCTAACCCACCCACTCCGCCCTCCAGCTAAACAAGCATCATGATTATCTGAATCCAAAGACACACTTCAGCCAGGCATGTCTTAAGGAGTTCTAACTTCCTTGGGAAATGACATTTAATGTTCTGAGGGGTTGCCTAGTCAAGAGAGAGGATTTAATCATCAGGTCACCACACGCCTGCTCCTACATACCCTTTTGGCCTCCCCTGGTTGTTCTGTGGGATCCTGATTGCTGCCGCTTTCTCAAAGACTTCCTGGAGAGAGTCTTCTGTCGCATCATATGAGAGGTTGTTCACAACAAGGGTCTTTGACTCTCCACCTGCAGAAAAGAAAGGTTCATTCTAGGGTCACTCCAATATTTTCCACTGATTCTTATTCTTATCATTCTCCTCCATCTATTAACAAGAAACAGAACTGCCTTTGACAATCTGTCAAAGAAGAGAGAACGTTTTGGTTAGACTAGTTGCAGATGGGGTGCAGGTGTTTGTTGTTAGCTTTCCTGGTTGCCCATGCTAAGATGCAATGGCTCTCGTGGAACTTTATGTACGGTTCAGAAAGCGCTGGCAGCTGAGGTGGCTGCAGAAGGCTAAAGAAATGTTTCCAGGAAAGGAAAACACAAACACCCACCCACACTTACAATAAGGTAAGCTGAAGCCCCCCAGCAACCAAAATTCTAAAGGGTCATCAGAAGGAAGCAGAAACCAACTAAGCCTCTTTTTTCAAGGCAAGATGCCTTTTGAGAATTGGGAGTACAGAGGTGCCTCGGGTTACATACGCTTCAGGTTACAGACTCCGCTAACCCAAAAATAGTACCTCGGGTTAAGAACTTTGCTTCAGGATGAGAACAGAAACTGTGCTCTGGTGGCGCAGCGGCAGCAGGAGGCCCCATTAGCTAAAGTGGTCTTCAGGTTAAGAACAGACCTCCGGAACGAATTAAGTACTTAAGCTGAGGTACCACTGTATGTCACTGTAATGACCGCAGCTTCTCTGCAGTCACCTTTCAGTGTTTTGTCATGGCAAGCAAATTCCAACACCAGATACCACCTGAATGCACCAAAGCAGATTACCTGGCTGTCCTCCTTTACTGAATTTTCTGCCATCCACCTGGCTCTTCTCACCAGTGTAGTCAAGCATGATGGCACGGCCCTCAATCTCCATCCCTTGCTTTTCCTCCATCGCTTTCTCTGCGTCTGCCTCGGATTTAAACTCAATGTAGGCAATCCTGAGGGATGGGGAGAACACAAAAACGGCAAGTTTGTTCTGAAAGTCTTGGGGAGATAATTCTCTAGAAGAAAATAGCTACCAATGATATTAAACACCATCCCAAAGGTACGTTCATTACAATGAACCTTGCAGGGGAGTGAAAAAACCCCTACAGAGAGATACAGCCCTGTTGTAGTACAACAACTTTGAAATCATGTTGGGTAGAATGAGGGTCAGAACTTTTAGGATTTCCTGGATAGAAACGCATATGCAGAGTAGCTGGGGAATTCTGCTGCTGAATGGCAGGGTCCACAGCAATGCAGCCCACAATCTCGTGCTAATGGAGGTACATACCCTTTGCTATTTCCATCCTTGGACACCAGCCTGACTTCCAGGGCATTGTCAAAGACTTCTTGCAGGTCTTCTTGGGTTATACTGTAAGAAAGGTTCTTCACAAAGATAGTCCTTGCATCTCTCTCTAAAAAGCAAACACCACAAGAGGTTATAGACCCACAGAAAAGTACTTTGAACACTCACACTCTGTGGCATCTCTTTGGAAACGTCACTCTATCAGGAGAGGCGCAGGAACATGTGCAGGCAAAGGCTGCTTTAAAGTCCAAGAATACCAAGCTCGTACTAAAAAGAAAGCTTACCTTTCTTATTCTCTTGGATGCACTCCCTGGTCTTTGCTTTTTCCAGTTTTATTTCCAAGCCCAATAATTTCTTTCCATTTAGCTTAAGTGCTTTATCCACATCAGCTTCCGATGAGAAATCCACATAGCCAAACCTCCTGCAGAACAGAAGGTTTATTTTCAGTCTTCAACCCAAATATCCACAAGGTAACCAAAGTAAACAGCAGCCTTAATGTGGCATCTAAAATTAGCAAGTCTACCCAACGGTAGGCTGAACATGTGTAATATTTGTGAGGGGACACAGAAACTTTGTCACATTTTAGGTGATGACTGCTTGCAGAGCTTTAAAAGTTAAAATGTTTTACAGCAGTCTCATTCAAAATCCAGTAAAAGTATTATCCTTCTGCTACCCACTCTTCTCCTGGAAGAACCACTGTAAGATGCAGCAGTCTCCTTATCTCCGGAACAAATACTACTTTTTGAACGAGTGTCTAATTCAGGGATGGAGAACATGTGTGTCCCTCCCGTTGCTGTCAGGCCTCCTAACTCCCACTGGCCCCAACCAGCATGGCCAGAGATGATAGGAGTTGCTGTCCAACGAAATATGTTCTTCATCCCTAGACCAAAGCAGCATTCACTTCCTCCTTGCCACAACAGAAAGCTGTTTTAAAGTGAAGTTTTTACTTTTAAGGAATTCTTAAGATTTCGTAATATACACAAGTAAACTTAGTTCTTACTTTGAGTTTCCAATTCTGACTTCTTGCACTTCAAGATCCTTTTTGGCAAAGAAATCCTTGACGGCAACTTTCAGTTCCTCAAAGTCTTTGTTTCCATTCAGGTTGCCCATGAAGATGGAGAAGGCAGCTTCTAAAACGTTAATGGAAGATTACATGAGTTATGCAAAAACTTCTAGGAAACTACAGTAAGGGCTGGTGGAGCCACCTGTGCAAAACTCTTAGTGCACCAAGCCTGGGAATCTCTCAACATTAGCTGTCATTTCCACTGGTAACTGTGTTACACTAGGAGTATAATGCACACTCACTGGAGCAGTGCGACAAGGACCTTCCACTCTCCCTAACACATACCAAAAGAACTAGCCCTTATCCTTCCTTTACCCACCTCTTCTAGTCTCTTTCCCTCTTAATTCTCATGCTCCATAGCAACCTTTTAAAGCCTCACAGATGTCCATTTTAACAGGCAGCGTGCTAATAAGTAAAAGGATGCTTGAAAAAAGGCCACTATGGGATCCCTGAGATGTGTCACAAACAGTATGTGGGTGCTAGACTTGGCTTCAGCACCCCAAGAATCAAACCCTCTACGTAGTAAGAGGCATGTCCTTGGATTTACCTTTTAGGTTAGGTGTTGGAAATTGGCTTTACTCTGCACAGAGGCATTATGGGATAGGTTACCATGCTTTTTCAAGGGCCAATCAAAAGAACAAGTGAAAACATGGTGGATTTCTCACCTTCCACTTTCTTTTTCTTGGCATCTGGGGCTCCTTTCTGCTTGGCCATTTCCTTCTTTCTTTTTCCAGACATTTCTTGCACGTTCTCTGTAGTGGGAAGAGAAGCAGAGGAGGTGTCAGAAAGACCCCAGGGGATCCCACGGAGCACATCAGAAGGGGGCAGCTGGATCAGGACTTGACTATCTTCAGGATGTGTTCATATGTGATTAATACCACATCAGCTCAGCGAGAATTCATCATTTCCAGCTCTAGGACCAAAGCAGAAGGCAAGACAACTGCAAGGTTTTGAGAGCTCTGAGGGACTTCACAGATGGCCAACTCACCTTCCTCCTCTTCATCGTCCTCTTCGTCGTCGTCATCCTCCTCTTCGTCATCATCTTCCTCATCCTCAGAATCTTCTTTGGCGGCTTTAGCAGGTGTGACTTTTACTGGTGCCGTTTTTGCCAGCACAGCTTTTTTCCCTTTTGCTGGGGTGATCTCCATGGGCTCATCTTCAGATTCTAGAACCACAGGGAGCTCTTTTAGGCAACACTCACAGTGCATAGCCACTGTATCAAAGAGATGCACTCAAGAACAACTCCTCTTGCTCACTTTGACTCCTTTAAAAAATTATGGTTGTTACTACAAAACTATGCTTATGAACATGAGAGTCACAAGCCTCAGTGATGTCACTGTGCAACATCACAGAATCAGACAACTCAAAAAGCAAGAACTGTGCAAACCACAGTTTGGAATGTGAGTCAGGCCTGCCTAACACTAGCCGGGCCTCCATTTTGATGTGCCAGTGTGTCCAGATTTAAGTTTATTGTGTCCTGATTCAGCTGGGAAGCAGGATTAGTATGTCCCCGCTATGGGCGCTGTTTATACATCCAACACATCAGCTCATACTAGAGACATCACAAGATCAGTATTAAGTCCCAATAATCATCATCTGTGCTGGTATCTAGACTCAAACAAGGCAGCAAGTTATCTCAACCTATTCTGCTTTTTCCAACCCAACTATTTATTCTGAAACTGGATGACTCAGAATAATCCCTACCTATGCTTCTCATAAATGAAAAAGCCTTACCGTCGTCCTCCTCCTCATCTTCGTCGTCTTCATCATCCTCGGATTCTTGTTTGGCTGATATAGCAGCTACAGCGGCTACAGGCTTTTTCCCTGCTGCCTGCACAGCTTTCCTTACTGGTACTGCAGGCTCCTCCTCAGATTCATCTGCATGAAGCAATTTATTAGCAGTTGTTGAAAGAGCAATACTGGAACATTTATAAAGGCCTACTGAACCAGAAACCATGATTCAAGACCTAACTACCTAAAGGATTGAAAGGAGTCATATGGTTCATGCACGGCAGCACTGACTCCAAATGGTGACCATCTTGTACTATAAAATTTAGCAGAACACACGCACACAATAGAATATAATATGCAAGAAATATCATGCTGTTCTCGTGTATTTTCGCTTGCTTTGAATGATTTGCTGCTTTGCTGTAAAAGCCAGAAACCTTTCTGAATCTGGCAATAGCAATTTCAGTTTACAGTGGTACCTCGCAAGACGAAAAACTCGCAAGACGAAAGAGTTTTTTGTTTTTTGAGTTGCTTCGCAAGACGAAAACGTCTTGCGAGTTTGTTTCCTTTTTCTTAAAACCGTGCTTCGCAAGACGAAAAAACTCGCAGAACGAATTAATTTCGTCTTGCGAGGCACCACTGTACTAAAGTAATTTACCCCACCAAATTCACCTTCGTCCTCCTCGCTATCCTCCTCCTCATCTTCCTCCTCTTCACTCTCTTCTTTCTTGGCGTTCTTCCCATTTTTTGCTCCTTTGGCAGGAACCGGTGTCTTCTTCAGTTGAGTAGCGGCTTTCTTTGCTGGGGTAGCCACAGCTTTTTTGGCTGGGGTAGCCACTATCTTCTTACCAGGAGTTGCTGCTTTTTTGTTGGGAGTAGCTACGGCTGCTGCTTTTGCTGGGGTAACTGCTTTCTTCTGGGGGACCATCTGCGGGAAGAGAAATATTCCAGTTAACAAGACACCATAAAATCTAAGATGGATGCAAAACTGAGAATATTGTTATGATTCATGCTCCCTTACCTGGGAGTTAGCCCGTCTGAACACAGCAAGGCTTGTTTCCAAGTCAACATGCATAGGATTGCATGGTACAACAATCTCTAACCACTAGTTTGCTCCACAAATTAACACAGTTGGATCTCCTTAGCAAATACCACTAAGGACTACTATGAGGTAACATATATAGATGGGACATAGGAAGAGAAATTAACTTAAGACCTTGACCTCTGCCCCTAGGAGTGCCTTCCATTTCATGCAATCTTTTTTCTCTGCCCAAAACTTGATTTTTCAGCTAATGAGCTACTTTAACCCTACTAGTAATAATATAATATATAAAATATATATTATTTATACCCTGGCCATCTGGCTCGGTTTCCCCAGCCACTCTGGGTGACTCACAGCATACATAGAAACATAAAACATTAAAAACTTCCAGATACAGGTCTGCCTTCTTCTAAAAGTCAGATAGTTTGTTTCCTTTACATCTGAAGCAAGGGTGTTTAATACCAATATATTATTATTATTAATACACAAGGCTTACAACTGCTTTCCAGTCTCATGGATGGGAACGTCCAGACAAATATTTGTAAGGATTTAGGCAGTAAAGCAAGATTTGGCTCACTGTACTTTATCATTTACACAACTTCACGCCAAATATTGACAAGCACCTTAAGACATTGGATTCAAGGTTACACTGACTGGCTTCAAGCACCAAAGGCCAAATTCTTACCTCTTCCTCACTGCTCTCCTCCTCTTCTGATGATTCCTCCTCTTCACTGTCATCCACATCCTTTGGAGGAGGAGCCATTTTCTTCTGTTTAGGCTGGCTTTTAACGTTCTGGTGGGAGACAGAGTACGAGTTAGAAGTCTGTTTTTCCCAGTGCTCAAAATTGCTGCTATCAGGATACACTTATAAGTCTCCTTACTTATTGAAAAACGTGCTACTCCTTTTAATAGTTCGCAGTGAAGCGCAATTGCTTAAGCACCCATACCTTATACCTTCCTCTTTTTCATACAGGAGATCTTCCCATCTGAATGTTAATGTAATTAACATTAAACATTCCAGCCTTGCTTCCCTCTTACTACTACTGCCACAATCCAACCACAGGCAGGCAATCCAAAGCCCCACTGATAACTAGCACATGGCAGTTAAGTCCCACTGATCTCTCTGGAACTTGGGGCCATGTGCTTAGTTATACATATTACGAACATCAGCAGGCCTCTGAACTATACTCCATTAATACAGACACATTCTGCCCAACCATATGCAAGCTCACTGTGCCACAGGAGCAAATGCCCCACCACCACTGAAGCATCACGTACAAGCACTTCAGACGGCACGAGGGATTCACTCTCTAGATTATTAAGCAATTATAAAATGTTATTTGCTCCCGCCCGCTTTACAGCTTTACTCCCTCGAGGGAGGACGTGTTTTTGCGCCTGTCGGAAGATCAATCTGGTCCTGCCTAGAGATACCCAATATCCCTACGAGACGGGGCTCCAAATTGGTCGGCTGGCCTCAGGATTCCCGTGCGGAGCCCTCCGAGCCTGCCTGAGGTACGAGGGCCGGCGGAAAACCCCCTCAGTGGCTGCTTCCCCCGGGAGCCTCGTGGGCGCAAAAAGCAGTCCCAGCTCCGCTTTCCCCGCCACCAGTCGCCGGCTGACCCGTTGTGTGTGCTTTCAACTAGCGATGTTTCCCTCCGCAGCCGCGTGGCCGGAGGGACCAGACCCAGGCGGCGGCGGCGGCGAAGGCCGCAAGGCCCGCGATGCTGCACCACGTGGAACCCCCCTGGAGAGCGGCTTCCTTCCCCCTCCCACGTGCTCCGCTACGCACGGCCGGGATCACGTGGCCACGGCGCGGCGACGCCGAAGCGCGCGCGGCGCCCGCTCCCAACGCCCCCCTCCCTCCCCTCGAAAACCGCTCGCGCGCCCGCCAAGCTAGGCTACGCTAAACTAAGCTCGGTTGACCCGCGTATGCGCGGCCTCCCCCCGCCCCGCCCGTGGGACGTCGAGCGCCTTGGAAAGATTCCGGCTGAGGCGGAGCGGAGGGCGCCTAGAAACTCCTCGTGTGGCCCGCGCGCGCCCTCTCGATCCCGTTGGAAGAGAAAGGGCGATGGGCCTCTAGAAACCGCCCGACGTTCTACTACCGTGGCGCGCGCGCGCCGCTTTGAGAGGCCGTTGGTTGGTGGGGGGCCTTGAAACCGCCGCCTCTTCCAATTCCCTTTCTCCCCCGCTTAATTCCCCCTCAGTGAAACCGACGGGAGGCCTGGAAACCGCCGCGCGCGCGCCAGGCCGCCGTCACGCCGCCCTCGTTTTCCCCCTCCCTCAGAATTCCGCGCGGGCCAAAGAAAGGGGCCTCCATGTTGTGGGCCTTTCTCTCCCTTCCCGCCATGTAGGCCGCGGCGCTCACCTTGGCGAGCTTCACCATAATGGCGGCGGGGTTGTCCGGATGTGTAGAGCGTCGAAAGAAGCCTCCGCTCGCTCCTGGCGCCTCGCTCGAGTCTCGGCCCGAACCGAAAAGAGTGAGGTCGAGGACTAGCTTAACTCTTTCTCCCGCCCCGCGGCGCTGCCTTAGCCAATCGGCGGTCGCGGAGCCCACCGCCCGCCCCCTCGCCGAGATGAGGAGCCACTCCTCGGGCTCTTTCGGAGTAGGCGGAGGGAGCCAATACAGCAAGGCCCGCCCCGCCCAATCAGAAACCGCGCCTAATTCGGAGGCGGGTCGAAGAGCCGCAACCAATAGGGCGGCAGCGCTGGTAAGTGCGAGAGCTGCGATAGGCCCGCGGTGACGGGCGGAAGTGGCGGAGTGAAGGAAGAGGAGCACGTGGCGCTGGTCTGTCTTCAACCATGTGGGGCTGCCCATTTTGTGTGCTGGTTTCTCGGGGGGGGGGGGGTGGGAAACTGCCTAGCGAGGTGGGAGACAAGGATCCAGCACTCTGCAGACTTACCTGGCAGTAAGCCCCCTAGATCACAGCGCTGTAAAGATGTGTTGGTGGAGAAGTGGGTGCTTTAGGAATTGGGCTTCATCTATGCATGACTATTAACTGGGTTCAGTGGGGTTTACTTCCCGGAAAGTACGCGCGTGCTTGCAAGCATCTAGGTGAAGCAGAGATTTGGAGAGGCTGGAGGGGGATTAGGGACCCGCTGGGTTGAGGGACGCGTGTGCGTTCCTCATCCTCGGTTGGAGAGTCAAAACCGAAAGACATTAGGTCAAGCCTGGAGACAGGCAATCAGTATTTATTCTGTAGCTATCTGCTGCATGGTTCTAGTATGGTTCTAGCACACAGTGTTCCGGACTGAAGAGGCTGATCTAGGGTAGTTGGCCAGGGGCAGGAATAAACGGGGGTGGGGGGGCATGTGTAGTAGATACCATGCCTAAGCCTGGGATCAGAAGGAATTGTATTGTATCCTAGGCAAAGCATTCAGGCACGTTTTTCTTCCAGAAGTGCGACAAAATTATGCCTTCTCCACAATGGGTGATCCTTTCTTTGAAAGGAAGCAGCTTTGGGGGAAGACCATGTGGTAGACCATGTGCTTTGCATGTAAAAAGTTCCAGGTTTGATGCCAAGCGCTTCCAGGTAGGGCTGGAGAAATCCCCTGTTTGAAATACTGCCAGTCAGCATAGATGGTACTGAGTTAGATATGTAGACCATGATCTGACTTTTCATAAGACTGCTTCCTTTATTCCAACATGTTGGGGAAATATTGTGTATTTAAGGCTGTGTACACGCCATACATTTAAAGCACATCCCCCCCTCCCCAAAGAGTCATTGGAATGGTAGTTTGTTAAGGGTGCTGGGAATTGTAGTGCAGTGAGGGGTAAACTATAGTTCCTGGGAGCCTTTGGGGGTGGTGGGTGGTGAATATGCAGCTTAGGCAATGTGAATTTATTTGGAGATTGTATTAACATATAGGATTTGGGAATTCAGTTTCAATCTCCTTTTTCCTCTTTGAGTCATTAGATGGAATATGGAGTTCTGGGCACCTTTAATTTGATCTGTGCTGAAAATATTCCAAAGCCATCAGCTCATCGGAAATATCTAGGGTGAATGTATTCTGTGTGCTGCTGCTGCTAAAGAATGCTGGGTAGAAAACAAGCAGAATCCGCCTGCTGGAAATTCTACACAGTTTAGCTGACCACACTGTGAAATCTATTTGTCAAGGCAAACATTTCGCTTTGCTAACAGATGGTGTTCCTTTTCTCCCTCCTCCCAGCAAGTAAAATAATACCACTTCAGAATTGTTTTAAATGTTTCAACAAGTTTCATTTTCAGTCTTCTTTTAATTGCAACTCTTCTCTCGGCACCTGAAGCTTGCAAAATTGAGATGGTTACTGTTCACTTTTAAAAATGAATCTGAAGTTGCTTCCCTGCCCTTCCCCCCCTCCCCCATCCACATGGGGAAGGCAAAGAAGTTGTTGGATGATTTTAATAGAATCATATAATTGGAAGGGACCATCAAGTCCAGCCCCCGTCAGTGCAGGAATATTTTGCACAACGTGGGGCTTGAACACACGACCCTGAAATTATTATTTCAGTATCCTTTTCAGTGCCGGATTTACGTACTATATAACCTAAAGCTTAGAGCCCCACTCCAAAAAAACCACAAAACCTGGATGTACATTTCCAAAATATAAGATAAAAAGCAAATAAAACTTACATACAGCAACAGTGTTTTGTGTGGTGTAGGCTCCTATGATGTAAGTAATGGGCCTCGCCTGCTAGCCTGCTCCCTAAAACATCACTGGTTTGCTCATTTCTATATACAGTGGTACCTCGGGTTACAGACGCTTCAGGTTACAGACTCTGCTAACCCAGAAATAGTACCTCGGGTTAAGAACTTTACTTCAGGATGAGAACAGAAATCATGTGGTGGGTTAAGAACAGACCTCTGGAACAAATTAAGTTCTTAACCAGAGGTACCGCTGTTTAGGGTGCCTACATTCTGCATGAAGGTCGGCGGTTCGAATCCCCGCGACGGGGTGAGTTCCCGTTGCTCGGTCCCTGCTCCTGCCAACCTAGCAGTTCCAAAGCACAATAGTGCAAGTAGATAAATAGGTACCGCTCCAGCGGGAAGGTAAACGGTGTTTCCCGTGTGCTGCTCTGGTTCACCAGAAGCGGCTTAGTCATGCTGGCCACATGACCCGGGAAGCTGTACGCCAGTAAAGCGAGATGAGCGCCTGAACCCCAAAGTTGTCTGCAACTGGACCTAATGATCAGGGGCCCCCTTTACTTTGCATTCTGCATGGACTTTTCAACAATTACTTTGATAAAATACATATTTTGTTATGTGCAAATGGCTTGAGATACCTATTAGGTCCATCAATTACTATATAGCATATATTCCACACAAAAAACAGCGACAATTTGTTGTTGACAAAGGACAGCTGCACATATAAAGGGCCCGTTATCACCAGTAGCTTAGGGCCTCATCAAACCTAAATCCGGCCCTGATCCTATAATTAGAGAGTTCAAAGGATTGCATGTGTAAAGTTGTAATTCATGTTCTTAAGAACAGGCAAGGCTTGGCCATTTGATGCTTCCTTAAAAGTGGATCGTTTCCAGGCAGGCACACGTGTATATGTATATGTTTATCTTTACCTGCTACCTGTTCCTTTTAGCTGTAGATGCCAGGTATTGAACCTAGAACCTTCTGTACACAGAGTACATTATTTATTTATGGTGTGGGCAGAAGGCAGGTGAGAATTGACTGTCAACTCTGGGTGATTGGAAGCAGGCTGGTGAGGGCTTCTGGCTCACAGCCACCCACCGCCACAAACTGGGTAGGTAACAATGGAGAAGTATTCCCAGTCTGTGAAGGGGTCAAGCCAGTACCTTGCCTTGGGCTGCAAGCAGCATGATGTGATGTGCCCGTATAATCCAGTCTCAGTTGACTAGCAGCCATTGACTGCAATACATGAGGTTTCTATAATGTTTTTTGAAGGGCAGCCCCATGTACAAAGCACTGCAGTATTCAAAAAGGGAGTTTACTATACCAGGGATGGAGAACCGAGGCAAAGCTAGCTCTCCTTGCCCAGGTAGGGGCTAATAGCCATGATGGCTAAACCTATGTCCCCACTGGGGAAGGACGTGTGGATCCAGAATAGGCCTCTACTGTCACTTACGGACTCGCTGTTAAGACCGTATTCATGGAAGACCATCTTTCTTGAGCTAGAGTAATAATCCACCAACGAAATTGGGATGTGGAACTTCAATGCCACGTGAGCTTGATGAATAAACACCCAGCAATAAAAGATAACGGGAGAGGATTTACCCCAGCAAATTATCTGTCAAAATTACAAATACCCAAATACAGACGGTCATTTACCCTCGCTAGATTCAACGTGCTGCCATCTGCCTTATTGCAGGGCAGATTCGAGGGTAAATAATAAGCGGAACGAGTCTGCCGCTGTGAATTGATGGAGGTAGAAACTGTCTCTCATGCCTTGTTATGCTGCTGTTTCTACAGGGATATACGCTCGGTATTTATTACCCCTGCTATGCAAAAATCTCCAAATGAATCCAAACTTCTAAAATCCCTGGTAGAGGACAAGGATCCTGAGATCACGTTAAGGTAGCCAAATTCTGTGCATTTGCCATAAAACTTAGGGAACAAGCTGCTATCATAATGATTAAGGCCTTAAATGATAATTTTAGGTTATATGTTAGTTTTACTTTATATATTTTTAAACTGTTGCTACATCTGTATTATCTCTGTTATACCTAATTGCAATTTTAAATGTATTCCTATCCTGTTTTATTACTTCTTTGATATTGTATGTGGGCTAGAACTGGTCTGTGACCGAAATAATAAATTAATTCACAATCTTTTTTTTTAAAAAAAAATAATATTTATTACTTTTCCAACAATTTAAACACTACAAAAACAATACAATACAATACAATACAATACAATACAAAAACACTACATAACACTAACACATTAAACTAACAAAACAAAAACAATTAAACACATTTCAATATCTTATCTTTCATTCACTTATTTCCACGACCTCCTCACACCTCCCTTTTGGTATTCCACTTCTGTTAATTATTTCAGCAATTCCTTTCCATCTTCCTCTGTTTTCTATCCTATAATTATCTTAACAAATTCTAACCTTATTTTTTCCTTTAATTCTCTATTCATCTATTTATACTTAATTCCTTATAACATTTCTACTAAAGCCATATAACTTCATTCCAACATTTTTCTAACATTCATTAATTTTACAATATTTCTGTAAATAGTCTTTAAACTTTTTCCAGTCTTCTTCCACTGACTCTTCTCCCTGGTCTCGGATTCTGCCAGTCATTTCCGCCAGTTCCATATAGTCCATCAACTTCATCTGCCATTCTTCCCAGGTGGGTAAATCTTGTGTCTTCCAATACTTCGCAATGAGTATTCTTGCTGCTGTAGTTGCATACATAAAAAAAGTTCTATCCTTCTTTGGCACCAATTGGCCGACCATGCCCAGGAGAAAGGAATTAATTCACAATCTTTCATGGCGATGAGTGATCACCGAGGAAGAAGAAAAGAAGAAGGTCTGCCTCCACGGTGGGAGGCAAAAAAAGAAGAAGAAAAAAAGCCTCCAGATACCACTTGCTGGAAGCCACAGGAGCATAGAGGGCTCTTATGCTTGGATTCTGCTTGTGATTTCCCCACAGGCTTCTGGATGGCCACTGTGAGAACAGGATGCTAGACTAGAGAGGCCTTTCTTCTTAGGTTCTTATAAGCTGCAGAGCAGGAAAGAACATATTGGATCAGGAAAACTGAGCAGGGGGCAGGATAGAATTGTAGAACATGGGGCTGTAGAGCTGGAAAGGGCCCTCCTAGGGTCATCTAGTCCAACCCCCTGCAATGCATATCCATTTAAATTAAGCAGCCAGGTGCTAGAATCTGAAATTGGACCAGACCTTATGCAGCTTAGGTTTGGCAAGAGGCAAGGCTAATCAATGCCTATATGGGAAAGAATAAATGCTTAGGTACATGCAGTGCTTTTTTCCTGGGGGTACACAGGGGTCCGCATACCCCTCAACATTTTGTGAAACTAAGTTTAGCTTAATTGAGGGGCAGTATTTCAATATGAGTAGGAAAATGAGAGTACCCCTAAACATTTTTTTAGAAAAAAGAGAGCACTGGGTATATGTACTTAATTTCATTTTTTAATTGTTCTTCTTAAAGTTTTTCCTTGGTTGCAAAAGTACATAGGGCATCTCTGCTTTCAGTTCATAGAGTTCTTCTACGGATCATTCATATTCAATGTGAGGCACTAATGTTATAGACAGCATAAAGATGGGGGAGAAAAGAGAAGGGGAGAGAGAGCGGGGGGAGTAAACTTTCATTCTATTCCTCAATTTCATTTGTTGAGGACTTGATTGCAAACCAGATGTCTGGTCAGGAGGGTGACCAAGGATTACGGAGAGAAACACTTGCTCAGTAAAGACTCAGTTGGGCCACTGCATATGGGGCTGTGCAGATCAAGCAGTGCCCATCATCAGGGCGGTACTGAGAAAAAACCCTCCACTAGCTCCATTAAGGCTTCCTCTTCATCAAAGGTCACTTGGGAGTTGTTGTTGTCATTTAGTTGTTTAGTCGTGTCCGACTCTTTGTGACCCCCTGGACCAGAGCACACCAGGCACTCCTGTCTTCCACTGCCTCCCGCAGTTTGGTCAAACTCATGCTGGGAGCTTCGAGAACACTGTCCAACCATCTCGTCCTCTGTCGTCCCCTTCTCCTTGTGCCCTCCATCTTTCCCAGCATCAGGGTCTTTTCCAGGGAGTCTTCGCTTCTCATGAGGTGGCCAAAGTCTTGGAGCCTCAGCTTCAACGATCTGTCCTTCCAGTGAGCACTCAGGGCTGATTTCCTTAAGAATGGATGAAGTCCTTCATAATATTCCATTTAAATCTCACACCAGGAGTTTCATCAGGCCTGCCACAATAAAGCCAGAACTGGGATGGATGTGTGGTCAGACGCAGGAAGGCCTTTGATTCTTCACTGCCTTTGGTTAGATTTCCAGGTGCTCATTCTTCTTTTCCACTAGGTGGCAACAGGCGGCTGCATTATGACCATTAGCTCAGAGCCTCTGCTGAAGAGGGTGTTGGAAGCTGCATTGTGAAAGCGACAGGTTATTTGAGAAGAAGGAGGAGTGCTGAAAACAAAAGCAAATCAACTGAATAAACTTAAAAACAAAAGCAAATCAATTGAATAAGCTTTTCAACAGGAGCAGATAGGCAGGTGGGCTTTGTGGAGCAGAGGAGGGGGGCATGTGAGTCAAGCGGATAATGGAATCCTGATTAGTTTACCTGTCAAACATATAATAATAATAATAATAATAATAATAATAATTTTTTATTTATACCCCGCCCTCCCCAGCCAAGGCTGGGCTCAGAGCAGCTTACAAGCAATAATAAAAACAAGATGAATGATTACAACTTAAAAACAAAAATAAAATACAACATTAAAATAATGGAACATTAAAATATTAAAATGTAGCCTCATTGCAGGAGGAGAAGGAAAAGAAAAAAGAGAGGGAGGGAATCAAATTGGCTCCAAGCCAAAGGCCAGGCGGAACAACTCTGTCTTACAGGCCCTGCGGAAAGAAATCAGATCCTGCAGGGCCCTGGTCTCATGAGGCAGAGCGTTCCACCAGGCCGGGGCCAGTGTTGAAAAGGCCCTGGCTCTGGTTGAAGCCAATCTAGCTTCCTTAGGGCCCGGGACCTCTAGGGTGTTGTTATTTATGGACCTTGAGGCTCTCCGTGGGGCATACCGGGAGAGGCGGTCCCGTAGGTACGTGGGTCCTAGGCCGTGAAGGGCTTTAAAGGTCAAAACCAGCACCTTAAATCTGACCCTGTACTCCACCGGGAGCCAGTGCAGCTTGAAAAGCACTGGGTGAATATGCTCCCATGGCAAAGACCCCATGAGGAGCCTCGCTGCAGGAAACTGGTGGTGGGAAAAAAGGCCAACTGATTTAAAAGGATGTTTATATGCACCTATGCAAAACTGTCTTATCTCTGCATCGGTGGCTTTCAGATTTCTTAGCTTCAGGGATCCCCTCTGCCCAGAAACATGCAGATATGGGAAGTATTTTGTGGCCTCATTTTACAGCAGGGCTCCTTGGATCTTCTTCGCTTTCTCTTAGGAGAATCCACCCAGCTCCTCCACCCAGAAAGCCAGAGCGAAAGGGCAAGGCTGCCTCTGAGCACATGCTGAGCCTATGAATTGCTTCCCAGATGCATAGAAAATCAAAGCAAGTATTAATCAGCCTTTTGCTAGTTTATATTTCTAAAAGTCTTAAATAGTTATTAATTCTTCTTATTGATAATTTTATTGCTTTGTCTTTTTGGTAAATCACTTCTGAGGTTTTTTTTTTTTAAAATAACAAGTGATGTATAAATTGTATGAAATAAATTAATGGAAGCCCACTCCTGACTCACGTTCTTCGTGAACAGCCCTTGGCGGGCAGAGAGGAGCAAGTAGACCAGACCATGCAGGGGGCGCTTGCATAAGTGCGCCTGGTTCACGCGCCCTCCAAAATTGTGTGCCTGGGACCACAGTCTCCCTGGCACCCCTCACGCTATGCCCCTGGTCAGACCTTCTGGTCCATCCTGCTCAGTATTGCCTACACGGACTGGCAGCAGCTCTCCAGGGTTTCAGACCAGGGACTTTACCTGTCAGTTTGCACTTCTTAGTGCAGAAAGTATTGATCTGATATGTGATTGATCTTTCCTATTCTAATTAATTCAGGAGGGTTCTGGAAGCTTCTCTGTGTGAAAGAAGCAAGCAGGAGGTTCATGATGTTTGGGCTATTCCTTTGGAGAAGCTGAGCGCAGCTGGTTTCAACTGGCTCTGTTATCTCTTTCTGTCAAGGTCGTGCTGACTATAATAAGAGGCCAGAAGGGGTTTCACACTTTATCTATCTCTCTTCCTGCTGGTGTTGTGTTCTGTACATAGATAGTGTTAAGATTTAGACTTATTGTAAGTTTAAGTTAAGTCTGCTGCAACTGGATTTCTTATGGACGGTGCCAATCCTGAATGCATTGGATTTGTGACCATTATGCTCATTTGCCTTCAGTAGCAGTAAAGCTCTGCCGGATGAAATATCAAATGCCTCTGGTCTATTTTTGGGGAATCCTGTTTAAGCTTTTACTCTGCTAACTATACGTTGGAATCCGCTCTGGATCAGTATTGAGTAGAATTCCATGACGGTGCCACGCAGCTATGGCCCGTCAAGGAAAAGAATTCGTCTGTGTTTGACTCAGAGCAGACAGACTGAAATGAATCAGTGAGGTCCATTAATTTCTGAGAAAAACGTGGTTGACTACTACCCTCTTATCACTACTGTTTCCTCAAACACCCCTAGTTTTGAGAACACCCCACTAGTCTGAGATTCAGCAACTACTTGGGTGAGTTTTTCCATGTCCTCCAAGCTTTGCACAAATGTGAAAAGGCGGGGGCTGAGATCCAAAGGGAGCCAGCACCACACCCCTCCCATCGCTGCAGGCAGAATAAACTCTCAAGTTAACCTTAGCCGACCTCCTTTGTGCGTGGATCTCAGAGGTAAAGCACTTGCAATTGGGTGCTCGGCCTTTGCACCTGCCCTCTGCTTTCTGCGAGGACCTGGAGACCTCTCCAAATGGATCGGGAGCCAGAAACGTGTCTTAACCAGGATGTGAGGCTGTTTTCTTACTCCATCCCAAGTTTTGAAAGTCTTGACAACAGAGAATAAGCGCCTGTCTGTTAGGAATACACAAGCAGCAAGTGAATTAACCGTCCTTTGTCCCCATAGCACCTGCCAAAGTTGGACTTAAGAATTTCCCTGCTGGATCTGAGACTCTTGAGAGTCCCATGGACTTCAAGAAGATCAAACCTCTCCATTCTGAAGGAAATCAGCCCTGAGTGCTCACTGGAAGGACAGATCCTGAAGCTGAGGCTCCAAGACTTTGGCCACCTCATGAGAAGAGAAGACTCCCTGGAAAAGACCCTGATGTTGGGAAAGATGGAGGGCACAAGGAGAAGGGGACGACAGAGGACGAGATGGTGGGACAGAGATGGACAGTGACGAGATGACGAGATGGACAGTGTTCTCGAAGCTACCAGCATGAGTTTGACCAAACTGCGGGAGGCAGTGGAAGACAGGAGTGCCTGGCGTGCTCTGGTCCATGGGGTCACGAAGGGGCGGACACGACTAAACGACTAAACAACAACAACCTAGCATCTTCTTCTTGGGTGAGGTGTGTACCAGATTTCTTTGGGACGCTTGCCAGCAGCACCTGAGCAGGGCAGCAGCTCTCCCCATATTCCTTGCAACTGGTGTTCGGAAGTGAAGTGCCTTACGCTCAGAGGTTTGCAGGTGTGCATGTGGATTATTGCTGCTGCCTAAATTGCCTAGGCAATTTAAATGCTAAATTAGCCAGAATGCACATTTGCATTACAAATCCTCTACTTTCCCTTTCCATTCCTCGTGAAGGGCGGCACAGCATTCTCAAATAGAGGTTCGCCTGCGATTTGGAATTGTGAATGTGTCCTTAGGCTGCTGAGCTGGTGCCACCGCTCATCTTTATTTTAGTTCAGTTTGCCTCTCTTTCACCCAGCGTGGCTTCTCTGTGCTTGGTTGTTTTTCTGCAAATTTACATGGCTGGCTCCTGCCCACAGCTCCTTTCAGGTTTTCTAGCAAGGCTCCTGGTCTGCAGGTGAAAACGTTGATGCGAAAAGCTTTGCATGTTCATTTATGCAGACCGAGCTGCTCTTAGAATTAGAGGAGCACATCAGGCATGTGTTTTTCTGGACACTTGGCAACCTGAATTATTCGTAGCATCACGGGGCGCCTTCAGACCACCTGCTTATTGAGCATTCATTCTGATTTGTTTGCAGGGAGAAAATGTTGGCTAGTCTATGAACATTCACTCTGCTCTGTTTGCTGGAAAGTTAGAAAATTGTGCCATACACTTTGCAGTGTATCTTCCCATCATTTTCCTTATCACAAAACGTCTGATCTTTTGGGAAAGGTTGTTTGCTACACAATACCTCCTGATCAATTGTAGTAGCATATAATGAATTTTCCAAGATGGGATTGAATACCTCCCGAACACAGAGACAGTCCAGCAGTGATCCAAGAGGAAGGTGCATAGCAGAGTTCAGCCTTAAAAACCACTGCTGGGAAATCAGAGTTTGGGGTGAATTAGGAGGTGCACGCTTAAGTTTGTGTACATTAACTGTATCACAAACAATATCACAAGTAGCATGGCATTTGCTTGCGCCCCATAAAACTGAAATTCTCCCCACCCTTTTTAAAAAGCATATTTAAAGTAAGACAGATATTACTCTCTGATTCCTAGAGGAAGTACCAATATGTTCAGAGGCCAAAAGAAAAAGCACTAGAGACATTAAAAATATTTAGCCTTTCGGCGTTCATCATATTTCACAGTTAAGTAAGCGACCCAATCGGATATCTCAATATCATTATATATGTTCTCTGTTGCATTTTTCACAAGAGCGAAGGAATTTATTAAGACGCCTCTCAATTGCCCATATCTCCTATCATGCGCTTTCTTTATCAAATCATGTATCCTTTTCTGGAAGAGACTCCTAAACGGCTTGCAATAAATCTGGTCAGATTTGATTCAAATAAATTGGTATTTTGATACTCTCAATATTCTTCTGCGGGTGCTCCACAGATCCGCGCCCCCCCCCCTGCTATAGCTCCACTGCTGGTTTCCTTTGCCGCCATCAGAGAGAGATTCAGTTTCCAGATGTTATCGATTTCATCAGGATGGTTGATGGCTCAGAGTTCAGGTGGGAAGAGTCAGGACCCAGGGCCCAAATGCATCCCCCCAGACCTGTCTCTCTGGCCCTCAGGAGTCTCTACAGGCAGCACCTGCCATTGGACTACTCCACGGCAGTGGAACAGAACCGTGATCGTGCCTCTTGCTTGCTTGGTGAAGGATGGAGAGGTGTGTGAGGACAGAAACCTCTGATTTTTGTAAAGGTAAAGGGACCCCTGACCATTAGGTCCAGTCGTGACCGACTCTAGGGTTGCGGCGCTCATCTCACTTTATTGGCCGAGGGAGCTGGCGTACAGCTTCTGGGTCATGTGGCCAGCATGACTAAGCCGCTTCTGACGAACCAGAGCAGCGCACGGATACGCTGTTTACCTTCTCGCCGGAGCGGTATCTATTTATCTACTTGCACTTGGACGTGCTTTTGAACTGCTAGGTTGGCAGGAGCAGGGACCGAGTAATGGGAGCTCACCCCGTCACGGGGATTCGAACCGCCGATCTTCTGATCGGCAAGTCCTAGGCTCAGTGGTTTACACCACAGTGCCACCCACTTCCCCTGATTTTTGTAGGATGTCTCTATTTTCATTAGAGAAATGTTGGAGGGTATGGGGTTATTCAACCCCCAAGCCAAGAAGATAAGTAACTCTACAGCCTTTCGAAGACATCTGAAGGCAACCCCTATAGGGAACTTTTTTAATGTTTAATGTTTTATTATGTTTATATAAGGTAAAAAGGTAAAGGACCCCTGGATGGTTAAGTCCAGTCAAAGGGGTGTGGCACTCATCTCGCTTCAGGCCGAGGGAGCCGGCGTTTGTCCACAGACAGTTTTCTGGATCATGTGGCCAGCATGACTAAACAGCCTTTGTCACAACGGGACACCGTGACGGAAACCAGAGCGCACAGAAACGCCGTTTACCTTCCCACTGCAGTGGTACCTATTTATCTACTTGCGCTGGTGTGCTTTCAAACTGCTAGGTTGGCAGAAGCTGGGACAGAGCAACGGGAGCTCACCCCGTCGCGGGGATTTGAGCTGCCAACCTTCCGATCAGCAAGCTCAAGTGGCTCAAGTAGTTTAGACCACAGCGCTACCTGTGTCCCTATATATGTTGGAAGCCACCCAGAGTGGCTGGGGAAACCCAGCCAGATGGGCGAGGTACAAATAATAAATTATTAGTAGTAGTATTACTACAGTGGTACCTCGGGATGCGAACGGGATCCGTTCCGGAGCCCTGTTCGCATCCTGAACAGAATGTAAGATGCGACTGCACATGCGTGGGTCGCGTTTTGCCACTTCTGCGCATGCCCGTGACATTGCTTCCGCTCCGTTACTTCCGGGTCGCCGCGGAACACAGCCTGAAAATACTTATCCTGCAGCGTATTTATCCCGAGGTATGACTGTATTAAGGGATGCGGGTGGCGCTGTGGGTTAAACCACAGAGCCTAGGACTTGCTGATCAGAAGGTCTGCAGTTCGAATCCCTGCGACGGGGTAACCTCCCGTTGCTCGGTCCCTGCTCCTGCCAACCTAGCAGTACGAAAGCATGTAAAAGTGCAAGTAGATAAATAGGTACCGCTCTGGCGGGAAGGTAAACGGTGTTTCCGTGCACTGCTCTGGTTCGCCAGAAGCGGCTTAGTCACGCTGGCCACATGACCCGGAAGCTGTACGTCGGCTCCGTCGGCCAATAAAGTGAGATGAGCGCCGCAACCCCAGAGTCGGCCACAACTGGACCTAATGGTCAGGGGTCCCTTTAACTTTAGTATGACTGTATTATTATTATTATTTATTTTCACCAGAAAATGGTTGAAGGGTATACAAGATTTCAGCCTTCCAGAACAGAATACAAATGTTTCTGAAGCCTTGTGGAAAGGAACTGCAGTCACTGAACACGAATAAGCTGCATGTATGTGTCTTTATTGAAATAATTCCCACACTAATTTATGCAAAAGCCCTCTAACATAAAACACTGGTTATTTAGCAGAGAGCAAAAGAGTGTAGGCACCAGAAATATTAATAGTATCACGGCCCATGGCCTGCGGTTGGAGATCCACCCTCTTGCTTTATTAATACCATAGATCATTTCCCAGCACTTTCCTCTCCCTGATTGCCTTTGCTCATTAGCCCTGTGAAAGAGCATCCCAGCGGCAGACTGTGTGTGCTCACGCCTCCATTTCTGAAGACATAACCGCACGTGGAAACGAGATGATGAGTTGTTTTTCATGGAAGTGGCCAGATTTGGGGCGGATTCATTTTCAGGCACCGGGTTGGCGCAGCGGCAGGTGACCCTGACGGCAGGCACCATGGTGACACAGTCACGTACGGTTTCGATTTCCTTGCCCTGGCTGGCGAGAAGTCCTCAGCCAGCCTTCTCAGCTGCTTTGGGGAGGAGAGAACGCAGAGGCTTCTATAACGCAGCTTGCAAATTCACAAGCTGGGGATGAATGACACGGACACAGGGTAGCCGGCAGAGGAAAACCTCATGCTAAGTGAAAATATGAAAAGAGATGCAGGAGGCAGCGGAGATGGTCACCAATTCGGATGGCTTCCCTTCATTTATTTATTTTACAATTTGTTGTTTATTCTTCTCTTCAACAGCAACAAACGACAAAAATAATGGACAACTATGGTAAAATGGAGTATGACAGAATTACATAAAACATTAAGCATAATAAGAATAAGAATTTATTATTTATACCCTGCCCATCTGGGCTTCCCCATCCACTCTGGGTGGCTTCCAACAAAATATCAAAATACCGTAATACATCAAACATTAAAAGCTTCCCTAAACAGGGCTGCCTTCAGATGTCTCCTAAAAGTCTGGTAGTTGTTGTTCTCTTAGACATCTGGTGGGAGGGCGTTCCACAGGGCGGGTGCCACCACCGAGAAGGCCCTCTGCCGGTTCCCTCTAACTTCGCTTCTCACAGGGAGGGAACTGCCAGAAGGCCCTCGGCGCTGGAGCTCAGTGTCCGGGCAGAACGATGGGGGTGGAGACGCTCCTTCAGATATACTGGACCGAGGCTGTTTATGGCTTTAAAGGTCAGCACCAACACTTTGAATTGTGCTCGGAAACGTACTGGGAGCCAATGTAGGTCTTTCAAGACCGGTGTTACATGGTCCCAGCAGCCACTCCCAGTCACCAGTCTAGCTGCCGCATTCTGGATTAATTGCAGTTTTTGAGTAACCTTCAAAGGTAGCCCCACGTAGAATGCATTGCAGTAGTCCAAGTGGGCGATAACTTGAGTATGCACCACTGGCGAGACAGACAGCAGGCAGGTAGGGTCTCAGCCTGCACCCCAGATGGAGCTGGTAAATAGCTGCCCTGGAGACAGAATTGACCTGCACCTCCATGGACAGCTGTGAGTCCAAAATGACTCCCAGGCTGCGCACCTGGTCCTTCAGGGGCACAGTTAACCCATTCAGGACCAGGGAGTCCTCCATAACCGCTTGCCTCCTGTCCCCCCAAAACAGTACTTCTGTCTTGTCAGGATTCAACTTCAATCTATACGTCCAAAAGCCCAAACTCCATCAAATAACCCTGCCATGAAGATGACTAAATCACTGGAGGCTGTCTAAATCCACACCCATCCTTAATAAACTTTAAAAAGGGGAGCCATTCTTTGTGAAAGGAGTTGAGTTTAGTCTCCCTTGAATTACTTGGAGGTGGTAAGTTAGGGGTTCCAAGAGAGCTATAATCCCTTATGGAGTTATACCACATCTCTTTGTAATATAGTAGTTTCTAACTCACACTTGTGGGTACAAAAGGGTTAACCTGAGCCCTGAGCTCAAGTTGCAGGTGGGTGTGGCTTAGCAGGACTCAGTAGCCTCTGCTCCCCCTCCCTCCTCAGTTTTTTTCTCTTCATGCTTCCTGGAACTAGCAAGGAGCCATGCAGCTATTGGCTCCCAGCTGGAAGAAAAACCAAGTGAACTGAATCTCTCCAAAAGGGAAATTTTAAAGCCTGCATCTTTGCTAGCCTGAATATTGCATGATCCTTTTGTAAGGAACCTACTTCATCTTTATTTTCATGCTGACGGATGGAGACTTGTTTGCTGTAACTTCTGGAAGCCCTGTGAATAAAGCATTCACTTATTTGCAAAGACGAGGGTGTGTGATTTGTTCTTGCCTAAGTAAGAAACGTTTGTTTAAACGTGGATGAGGGCAGGTGCAAATCTAACCAAGTTTTAACGTGTTTGAAGCAATCACCATTGTGCCGCTGGAGAGCAGCAATCTCTGTCCCTCAGTTCTCCCTCCAACAATCCCTTGTGGCATTGACTCTCAAGATTTCGGTGGGAGGCTATTTCTTGTCTTGTGGTAGCCAATAGCAAGAAGACCAAAGTCTTAAGTTATGCTATGAGATTGGGTGTAGAACACAACAAAGATAATTCTAAAATTGTATTATTTGCGGATGATATCCTTTAATTTATTACAAAACCAGAAGATACAATTCCAAAAATTATGGAGAAAATAAAAACCTTTGGCAGAATATTGGGATATTCTATAAATTGGACAAAATCAGAGATTTTACGAATTGGGCCAAGGGCTACATTGTATAGAAACCATCAATTTCGGATGTGCAAAGACTTTATTAAATACCTGGGTATAATGATTTCATCAGATATAGACCAAACTGTAAAATTAAATTTGAATCAAATTATAAATGAGATTTCTTTTGATGTTGAAAGGTGAGGATCTCTCAACCTCTCACTTTGGGGAAAGGTTAATGTCCTCAAAATGAATGTCATTCCAAAGCTTTTATACATTCTTAGTGGATTACCAATACATATTCCCAAATTTTACTTCCAAAAAATAAAACAACTATTTAGATCTTGCCTGTGGGGTACAAAGCCACCAAAAATATCACTACATAAAATGCAATTTCCAACTAAGGAAGGTGGCTTTGGTCTCCCAAATCTGGAACTATATCACCAGGCCTACCTGCTGAGTAATACTAATTATTGGAGAGTTAACAGGAATCCCAATTGGGCTACTCTCGAATATAGTTTCTTTGAACCTCTTGTAGGGTGGACTAAACTCGGCTCCAATTTTATGAAATATCCTATTATCCCGGAGACTATTAAAGCACCTATAAAAATTTGGATGAATATATAAATAAAAATAATAAGGATGACCCCCTATCAGCACGAGAAATTAACAATATGGGCCAACCCAAAATTAAAAATTGGAAATCAAGTAATAATTTGGCAAAATTGGATGAAGAAAGGTATTTTGACATTAAATCACTTAACTGATGAAAATTACAAATTTGTGGAATAGAAGACTTTGCAAGTAAAGTATGGAGTAACTAGTGAAACACAATGGCAATACATCCAAATTGAAGCATATGTTGGTCTCCCTCTGCAGTCAAATGTTGCGTGTTTCTGATTGCGCTCAGATCCCGGCTGCAGGTTTCTTGTAAACATCTAGTTGGCCACTTTGAAAACAGGATGTTGGACTAATGTTCTAATCTGATCTGGGGGGTGGGGAGTATTTTCTAACCTCCCTTTAGAAAATGCTCTTTTTCATCTGCTTCACACAGACAGACCCCTTCACCGTGTTATGAATTCCGTTCCCCATTCATTACATGTGTCTATCTCTGCTTCCACAAAGGTAAAGTCAGGCATGAATAATGCTAAACTTATGAGTGTTGCTGTCATTGGGTTCTATCAGTTTTCTGCTTACACCATGGGTGAATGGATCTGCCCATTTTGCACTCTTTCTCTCTCTCTGTTCAGTTTGCAACATCTGTTTGCAATTTGAAAAGGAAAGAAGATAATTAACCAGCATTTTAGAGCAAATTTATCTTTGCATACTCATTCTCTCAAGGAAATTTCCCTAATTTACTGCATTTTGGTGTGCTATTTTTGCCACTCTGAAGGGGGTACCCTGGATTCATGAGCCGTGGGACAGTGTGCAAGGCTGGGCTTTGTCAGCATAGAACACCTGTGGCTCAGAAATCTGTACTGGTTGCAAATTTGCTACTGCGCTGAGTTCAAGGTGTTACTATTAGTATATAAAGCCCTTAACAACTTGGGACCAGTTTACCTACGAGACCGTCTTACCCCACATATGCCAACACAACTGCTTTGATTGGCAGAATTGCCATATCGCAGGTGCCACGTAATACCTATTCCACCTTTGTAGGAACTTTACTGTTTAGTGTGACAGCAGCTACACTTTGGAACTCCCTGCCACTTGATAGCAATCAGGTGCCTTCAGTGTATTCTTTTCTGCAACATTCTGGTTTACACAAGCCTACCCAGAGAGCTGGTGGGAGTTTTAATTTCTTTCCGTCTATTGTGGCTTTAACTTTTTGTCTGTTTTAAATTATTGCTGTAAAAATGAAATAAAATTCAGTGAGTATTTTTTTGGTTTCATTCGTTTTGGAAACTGCTCTAAGGTTCTTTCTACAATCAATTATAAATTTTATCAACCAAACCAACCAGACAGACAGACTGGATCCTAGCCCCAGCCCTGAGTCACTTGGATGGAAGCTCTGCCTCAGTTCTTCTGCACATGAAATGGGTACAGAATGATACAAGGCTGAAGAATGATAAAAGGAGAATTGCCAGTTTGCACCTATAAAGAATCATTGAGACTGGGAATTTGACCACAAACTCAAGGTGGTTTCTGAAAGTTAAGGGACCAGGCTGAAAAGTGATATGAGTTGGTCTCGCAGGTCTTCAAGACGTCCGAGTCAGATTCTGTTCCACTTTTCACTTTTTAATAGGCTGTTACAGGCCGTTACCAAATGAGAAGATTTCACATTAACCTCGGGGAGATTAAAGGGCTGTCGGCTAAGATTTATTCTCTTCTGTTGGAAAAAGGACCAAGGGAAGGCAAATTGATAGTTTTGTGAGGTGAAACATTCTCGGCAGAATGAAGACCAGGGATTTAAAGGGGGAGGCGCAAAAAGTAACAGCAATTCTCATGGGCTCTTCCTCCATTATTACTATTTTTTAAAAGCTTATTGAATCATTATACAGAGCGTATCGCATTTGCCTGCCTTTGAAAAAGTTCCAGATTAATTGAATTCTGGAAGTCAGGGGACTGGAGATGTATTTGTTGGACTTACAAAATCAACAGCTAGTGTCTGGCAAAGGATAATGAAGATTAATTATAAACCACTGGAAGTAGATGATCACCTAGTCATCCCCTGTGCTTGATACCCATGCCTCTCCCTCCTCGGCCCAATCTCTGCCTTCTTTTGATTGTATGCGCCCTGAGGCAGGGGCCTAACTTTTGCCCGACTACATTGTTCACAGTAGTACTGTTAAATAGACATAAATACAGTAATTAATTTTCCCAGTAGCGATGTATGGAAGTGAGAGCTGGACCATAAAGAAGGCTGATCGCCGAAGAATGGATGCTTTTGAATTCTGGTGCTGGAGGAGACTCTTGAGAGTCCCATGGGCTGCGAGAAGATCAAACACATCCATTCTGAAGGAAATCAGCCCTGAGTGCTCACTGGAAGGACAGATCCTGAAGCGGAGGCTCCAAGACTTTGGGCACCTCAGGAGAAGAGAAGACTCCCTGGAAAAGACCCTGATGTTGGGAAAGATGGAGGGCACAAGGAGAAGGGGACGACAGAGGATGAGATGGTGGGACAGTCTTCTCGAAGCTACCAGCATGAGTTTGACCCAACTGCGGGAGGCAGTGGGAGACAGGAGTGCCTGGCATGCTCTGGTCCAGGGGGTCATGAAGAGTCGGACACGACTAAATGACTCAACAACAACACAGTAATTAATAGCCTTGTTGTGGCTTTCCTGGAGGGCTGTGGGAGGCAGTGTTGGAGAGGGCCTGGGAGATCTGAGTTCAAATCACCACCCAGGAATGAAGTTCACAAGGTGACCTTGGGCTAGTCAGTGTCTCACAGCCCAACCTACTTCGCAGGGTTGTTGTTTGGATGAGATGGGGAGGGATGAAACATACTATTATGTACTGAAGTTCTCACCCTGGGCCAGCAGGGGGATACTGTAGATAGTTCAGGTCCACATATGCAAATAAGGGATTGAAAGTGACGTTCAGTGATTGGATAGTTACAGAAAGTTGTTACAGTAACGTTGTACTGGAGCTCTATATAAGCAGGCTGACTGAACCCTTCAGTTCAGTTCTGTTCTGGGTCTGTGAATAAACAAGAGCTGTTGAAGAATCGCTGTGTCGTCTGATATGTTCACCCACAACTTAACACGTACGTTGAGCTGTTTGCAGGAAGGGTGGGAGAGAAATGTAATTAAAAAGGATGGATGGAAGGAAGGAAGGAAGGAAGGAAGGAAGGAAGGAAGGAAGGAAGGAGAAAAACTTTCTGCACCCACTTTTCCCACTTGCATAATTTTTATAAACACTGATCGTGCCCCCTCTTGCCCCCCATTAAATAACCCCCCAAAGTCGCAAACGTTTCTTATAGAGGAGATGCTTCAGCCCATTAATCTGTTTGAAGAGCAACTGTAATCAACAAATTACGCTACAAGGACTACAAGAAGTTTTGTAAGGAGAAATATATGAAATATTGCAAAGAAGAGAAAGAAGAGAGACATTAGTTAAGAGATTTAAATATAATAGTGAAAGTAAGAAATGTTAAGTGAAAAGATGGGGAAATTTTCCGATGTGATTGATGGAAGTCAAAAAATTGTACAAGGTATAAAAGTATGTTTAATAATTGTTGAAAATGATATGATAAAAAATATACAAAGAGGCTGGAAAAATAATCTTTTTAGCTGCTGTTCCTCCCGCTCTCCGATATGTTTTTGGGACTGGCTCCAAACGTGGCTGCACCGTAGATCTTTATAAGGTTATCAAAAGTGTCTGTTAATTGTTTAGGTCCCAAGAGCAGAGAGCTGTGGAGACCTTCTGATAGGAACACAGAAATCTGCCTTATTGTCATGCCATCAGTCCATCAACCTCTATATTGTCTACACTGGCTGGCAGCAGTCCCCCAGAGTTTCAGGCAGGGGACTGAACCTTCTGCATACTTCAACCCATACTTTTTAATAATCGCACACTGGCTGGAGAAATCCTCGGTTAACGCTACTGGACCAAGAAATTGTTGTTCTGTCGTATGTTTAGAATACACAAATAGAAGACGAGAAGAGCCTTGCTGGATCCTGCGGTCGGAATCCAGATGCAAGGGGACATGAGCACAATAGCAATTTCCCGCTCGTGATTCTCAGCGACTCTGACCCTGCAGGCATCATCAGTAATTGTCCTTTCTCTGTGACATTTCCCAATCCTCTTTCAGAGCCCAGGATGTTGGTGGCCATCCCTGCATCTTGAAGTGATGGATTCCAGGGCGCTGCTGCGTGAAGAAGTTGTAAGAAAGGGAGATAGCTTGAGCTCCTTACGTGGTTGATTTCTGTGGGTCGCGGCATCTGGGTTTTGAAGGGCAGAGCTTAACTCTTTCCGAAGACACAGGGCTCTGATCCCTGACTTTGCCTTCCGCTTGCTCCTAGATCTGGTATAAAAAGGACCCTAACCATTAGGTCCAGTCGCGGCCGACTCTGGGGTTGTGGCGCTCATCTCGCTTTATTGGCCGAGGGAGCCGATGTACAGCTTCCGGGTCATGTGGCCAGCATGACTAAGCCGCTTCTGGCGAACCAGAGCAGCGCACGGAAACGCCGTTTACCTTCCCACTGGAGTGGTACCTATTTATCTACTTGCACTTTGACGTGCTTTCGAACTGCTAGGTTGGCAGGAGCAGGGACTGAGCAATGGGAGCTCACCCCGTCACAGGGATTCGAACCACCGACCTTCCGATTGGGAAGTCCTAGGCTCTGTGGTTTAACCCACAGTGCCACCCGCGTCCCATTAGATCAGGTATACCCCTCCCTTGTTCTCCTCCTTTCCCTGGGAGTCCGCAAATGGCAGCACCCGCTCTCGAGGCTTATGGGATTAACATTAAAGTGTGCATGCTTAGTGATGGTTCACTGCCCGCATATGCATAACTTTGCCGTCCGAAGCACCGCACATACGCTCTGCCTTCTTTCATTTCTGTGTAATAAACCAATCTTTTTATGCTTTCATAGAATTGTGGAGTTGGGTGGGACCCTGAGGATCATTTAGCCCAACCCCCTGCAATCCAAGAATCTCTCTTTTTTTAAAAAAAAATAACATTATTGAGAATTTCAACATAACAGGTTATCAAAACATATCATCTTCATCATTTCCCCCCTTTCCCCCCTCCCAAAAACCCTCCCCCCAAGACTTCCCTCAGCTCCTCTCTCTGATTTCTCAAGACATGTTATTCTCTGCACATTGTAAAATTGCATAGATCCTTAAATTATCTGTCTATTATGTTAACAATAAATTTGTGTATGTTTGTTCGAAACCTGCCAAGGAGTCCAATTCGTTATTGTTGTTTTTTTAAATAATTTGTAAAAAGTTCCCATTCTTCTTTGAAGTCACAGTTGTCCTTATCTTGCAATTTGTATGTCAGTTTCGCCAGTTCTGCGTAGTTCATCAATTTCTCTTGCCACTGTTCTTTGGAATGAGTTTCCTCATTCTTCCATCCTTGCGCTATTAAGACTCTTCCCGCTGTTGTAGCATACATAAATAATTTTTTTATTTTCCTTGGCAGGTCTTTTCCTACAATCCCTAACAAAAATGTTTCTGGATTTTTTTACAAATGTTTATTTAAACATTTTATTCAACTCATTGTATATCATTTCCCTTTTTAAAAAAAATTTCTCTGCATTCCCACAACATATGGTAAAAGGTCCCTTCTTTTTCTTTACATTTCCAACATATGTTTGACCCAGTTTTATACATTCTTGCTATCTGTACTGGTGTTATATACCATCTGTACATCATTTTCATGTAAATTTCTTTCAGAAGAGAACAATCTGTAAATTTGCAATCCAAGAATTTCAGGTAAAGCATCCATGACAGACAGCCTTCCAACCTCCACGTAAAAACCTCCAGGAAAGGAGAGTCCACAACCTCCAGTGGGAGACCTTTCCACTGTCTAACAGCTCTCACTGTCAGAAAGTTGTTCCTGAGGTTGAAGGCAGCTATCATATCACCTGTCAGTCTCCTCTTCTCCAGGCTAAACATCCCCAACTCCCTCAACTCTTCCTCATCAGGCTTGGTTTCCGGACCCTTGATCACCTTGGTCACTCTCCTCTGCACATGTTCCTAAAATTCTGACGTCCAGAACTGGACACAGTATTCCAGGTATGGTCTGACCAAGGCAGAAGAGAGGGGTTCTATTATTTCCCTTGATCTGCACAGTATGCTTCTGTTGAGGCAGCCTAGAATAGCATTTGCTTTCTTTGCTGCTGCATCGCACTGTGGACTCATGTTTAAAGGTAAAGGGACCCCTGACCATTAGGTCCAGTTGTGACCGACTCTGGGGTTGCGGCGTTCATCTCGCTTTACTGGCTGATGGAGCCGGTGTACAGCTTCTGGGTCATGTGGCCAGCAGGACCAAGCCGCTTCTGGCAAACCAGAGCAGTGCATGGAAACACCGTTCGTTTACCTTCCTGTTGGAGTGGTACCTATTTACCTACTTGCACTTTGACGTGCTTTCAAACTGCTAGGTTGGCAGGAGCAGGGACTGAACAATGGGAGCTCACCCCGTTGCGGGGATTCGAACCGCCGACCTTCTGATCAGCAAGTCCTAGGCTCTGTGGTTTAACCCACAGCTCCACCCACATCCCTTGGACTCATGTTTAGCTTTTGGTCTACTAAGACCCTAAGTCCTATTCTTAATCAGCTGATTGTCTAGCCCCACTGTACATCAGGGAGCGCTGTGTGGAGAGAGTCTCTTCCTTTAAATTCCTAGGAGTTTATCTCATTGAAGACCTTACTTGGAAAATCAATACATCCCAGGTGGTTAAGAAAGCCCAACAGAGACTCCATCTCCTCAGAGTGTTGCGAAAGAACGATGTCAATCAACATTTGATGATCTCCTTCTACCGGCCCACAATAGAAAGTGTCCTTTCATACTACATCATGGTGTGGGACGCTGGTTTGACATCAGCTGATAGGAAGTGCCTACAGAGGGTGGGGAATACAGCACAAGATATTATGGGCTGTCCTGTGAATCCGCTGGATGACATCGCGGAAGAACAAGAACGTTGCCTCAGGAGAGGGAGGAAAATTCTCAGGGATGATTCACACCCTGGCCAGCACTTGGCACTTTCTTGATCTCTTGCCCTTGGGCAGAAGATATAGAAGCATGATTAGTCGCACCAACAGGGTAAGGAACAGCTTCTATCTGTGGGCTGTTAGGCTGCTGAATGAAAAGACAGGGCAACTGAATGAAACTGAATGAAAAAGACAGGGCAACTGACTTTTGGGTTTGGTGGGTGTGCGTCAGTAAACGAGGGGAATTAAGACGAAGAGAGCTGAGTGGCGGGTGCTCGTGTAATCTCACTGTATACAAGTTGTACAAGGGACAATAAAGTATTTCAATTGTCCCTGCAGCTGGAGCTCTGAGGTAGAGTGCCTCTGAACAGGGAGGCTCCTTTCAACAATCCTGGTTCAGAGCTCTTATTAAGGCAATTTTCCTCTACAAATTTGTCCGCTCCTTTTTTAAAAAAGAAAAAAGAAAGCCATATCAAGTAGGGGTCATCACCTCCACATCTCATCGTCCTTCAACTACAACCCATAATATATGCAGCTTTACCACATCTCTAATCATCATTTCAGTTCTTTTGGCTTTACAAAAGGCTCTCTTTTATCCTACAGTTGAAGCCACGATTAATCTGCCAGAGCTTGCCTGCTCCTTGCTCCCCCTCCCCCTGCATAAAAAAATATCTCTTCAAACTTCATATTAATTGCCATCCCTGGGGTGGGGCAGGGAAGCATTTTAATATTCTACCAAACTTCCCTCTTCTGCTTACATGAAGTCAGAGAGGAGAGACGCTGTTCTGTTCTTCTCCGAAAGTGCCCCCGGAGGATCTGCCTTATGATAATTTCCAGCCCTGCAGAACCGGGGGGCACATTTTGACAGAGAATGCCATCTCCTGGAAGGCGACCCTATTTCAGAGCCAGCGGCTGCTAGCAAACACCCCTCAGCCTGCATTTGTTACCCTCCTGATTTCCATGTTCATTTGCTGAAACCGAACAAGCACTTTGCATTTAAATGTGCCAATGGGTGCAGAGTAAGCCAAAGTGGAGGGGGAAATGGGATGGGAAAATGACTATTAATGCACTATATCCAGTGGTTTTGTTTTTTTGAAAAACATTTTGTTCAGTGCAACAGCACCTGTGCCTACATGGTGCCACCATACTTCTCCCTGTGTTCAGGGTTCAAACTCTCCCTTGTTTGCTTAAGGGGTTCATGCATACAGTAATATAGTTCGTGCCTTTTTACTGCAAGTCTTGTGCTTTTTGACTTTTGCCGTGGCATTTATTCTACTTATGCTGTGAAATGTGCTTAAAAAACCCAAAACCTTGACATAGTAAAAGGTAAAGGGACCCCTGACCATTAGGTCCAGTCGTGACCGACTCTGGGGTTGCGGCGCTCATCTCGCTTTACTGGCCGAGGGAGCCGTCGTACAGCTTCCGGGTCCTGTGGCCAGCATGACTAAGCCGCTTCTGGCGAACCAGAGCAGCGCACGGAAACGCTGTTTACCTTCCCGCCAGAGCGGTACCTATTTATCTACTTGCACTTTGACGTGCTTTCGAACTGCTAGGTTGGCAGGAGCAGGGACCGAGCAACGGGAGCTCAACTCGTTGCGGGGATTCGAACCGCCGACCTTCTGATCAGCAAGTCCTAGGCTCTGTGGTTTAACCCACAGCGCCACCCGCGTCCCTATGCTGTGTGTCCCTATGTGCTTAAAAACCCCAAAACCTTGGCATAGTAATCATCGCAATTAAAGAGACTTTATTTAAAAATTATTTCTTAAAGATATTAATAAGAGCCTGTGTGTGTGTGTGTGTGTTTATTACATCCACAGAGCACCTTTTCTTCGAAGGAGCCTGAGGTGGTGCCACATGGTTTTCCTCCTCTCCATTTCATCCTCACAACCACCCTGTGAGGTAGGCTAGGTTGATAGATGGTGACTGGCCCAAGGTCACCCAGTGAGTTTTATGACTGAGTGGGGATTCGACCCCTGCTCTCCCAGGTCCAAATCCAATACTCTGAACCACTACACCACACTGGCTCTTATTTAAAAATCTTATCTTTTGAATGTTTCAAAGAGTTGGGGTTTTTTTTTTACTATAATTTTATTGTTTTATTCTCTTTGTAAATCGCTTGGAGGGCTGTGTGTGTGTGTGTGTGTGTGTGTGTGTGTGTGTGTGTGTTGCAATCAAGCGATGTGTGAATTTTATGAAATAAATAAAATATAATACCTCTTGGGTGGCTTGCAAAGCTGGAGCTTTTGACTTCCCAAAATCAGCCCCCTGCAGCTGCCGATCAGGGAGCGGAGAAGAGAAGGGGAGACTTGCACCAGTGAGTAGACTCTGCTCTTCCCTCTTGGAGGGTGTTGCTGTGAAGCACTCTGTGCGTGCTTATGCGCCATGGCAGGCAGAGTTTTAAAGAAAGGCAAGGGCACATCATTCCCCCCCTTGCCTTTCATATTCCCAGTTTTGCACTCTTGGGTTTGTAGGCATGGTCTGTTTTGGTTTTCCTCCTAGTCAATTTCACAGCCCACTTCTTCAGCAAAAGCTTAAAGGGGCTGCGACATCCTTGAGACACAATAGCAGGGTGGTAATGGGAGAGAGATAATTGTTGGGCTGTGAGCGGAGAAAATTGCCTTTTCATAGTTAAAGCCTGTCTGAGAGCCAGAAAAAATATATATATTATTTCCCTCTCTCTTTACTATCGGTTTTTGGCCTTTTAAATAAATAAACACCAAAAAGAGAGGAAAAAGTCTGGTTTTATAAAACCGGAACATGATTTACCCTGAAACTGCTCCGTAGCACTTTATCAGTTAGAGGGCAACAAGTTAATAAGCATGGGGGTGATGCAAATTGGAGTGGGGTGGGGGAATAATCTCACAGATGAGATGTGAATTGTGGGGAAGGAAGTCCGGAAATCAAAGCAGGAGAATGAAAGCACTGCAGCGCCATAGAACTGTAGAGTTGTAGATATGATAGCTAAGCAGTTGGCTCCTTACCTCTCTCGCCCTGACCTAGCCACTGTGATCCATGCGACGGTCACCTCCAGACTGGATTATTGTAACTCACTCTACGTGGGGCTGCCCTTGAGACTGACCCAGAAACTCTAGTGGGTGCAGAATGCCGCAGCGAGACTCCTTATGGGGTCCTTGCTGTGGAATCACATTCACCCAGTGCTATACCAGCTGCACTGGTTCCCTGTGGGGTACAGGATCAGGTTTAAGGTGCTGTTTTTAACCTTTAAAGCCCTATATTGCCTAGGACCCTCATATCTACGGGACCGCTTCTCCTGGTATGTCCCATGGAGGACCTTACTGTCTTCAAACAAAAACATCTTGGAGATCCCGGGCCACAGGGAGGTTAGGCTGGCCTCAGCCAGAGCCAGGGCTTTTTCTGTCGTGGTCCTGATCTGGTGGAACGCTCTGTCACAAGAGACTAGAGCCCTGCAGGACTTAACATCTTTCTGCAGGGCCTGCAAGACAGAGCTGTTCCACCAGGCCTTTGGCCAAGGCACAGTCTGACCTCCTCCTATGGTAATCCTTATAGAACTCTAGCCCAATGGTTGCCATTAATTTGATTTTGAATTGATTTTAGAATGAATTGATTTTAGAATGCTGTGTTACTTTATTGTTGTTAGCCGCTCTGAGCCCGGCTTCGGCTGGGGAGAGCGGGATATAAATAAAATATTATTATTATTATCATCATCTGAAGGTATCCCAAGGGCTATCACATGGAAGGTGGAGCAAGCTTGTTTTCTCCTGCTCCGGAGGGTAGAACCTGAACTAATGGATTCATCGAATCAAAGAATTGTAGAGTTGGAAGGGACCCCAACGGTCATGTATTCCAACCCCCTGCAATGCAGGAATGAAAGCTGAAGAATCCCTGACAGATGGCAACCCAACCTCTGCTTAGCAACCTCCAAGGAAGGAGAGTCTACAACTTCCCAAGGGAGTCTGTTCCGCTTTCAAACGGCTCTTATCGTCAGAAAGTTCTTCCTAATGTTTAGTTGAAATTTCTTTTCTTGACATTTGAATGCTTTAGCTGAGATTCCTGAATAGCAGGGGGTTGGAAAGGGGAGTCTCTTCAAACTACAGTGGTACTTTGGTACTAGAACGGCTTGGCTCCTGAACAAATCAGCTCCAGAATGCCGCAAACCCTGAAGTGAGTGTTCCGGTTTGCGGACGCTTTTCAGGAGCCGAACGTCTGACGTGGCTTCCACGGCTTCCGGTTGAGTGCAGGAAGCTCCTGCAGCCAATCGGAAGCCACGCCTTGGTTTTTGAACTGTTTTGGAAGTCGAACGGACTCCCGGAACGGATTAAGTTTGAGAACCAAGGTACCACTGTATACAATTCTACGAATCCATTGGTTCAGGTCCTCCCTTCTGGAGCAGGAGAAAACAAGCTTGCTCCACCTTCGACGTGACAGCCCTTGGGATAACTACAGATGGCTATCATATCTCCTTTGTGTTCTCTTCTCCAGGCTAAATATCAGAAAGGCGGACGCTACAGAACATGAGAGTGTTCCTGCTCCATGATTGCAGTCATGGGATTTTTGTCAATCACATGACTGTGTATGTTTTGACTCCACAGAATGGGAAGTGACGGAGACAGGATGTTTGTGTTACTGTGTTCCGTGAAGTGGGACTGTTGTCCTTTGTTCTTTTTCTCTTTGCTGCCTGATGCTAGAGAGAGAGGGAGCCATGTTGCAGTGCTCCGTGTGTGTGTGTTTAGATGTAAATAAAGTAGATTAGCCAAAATGCTGAGTTGCTGAGGTCTGTTACGCAAGCTGCGAAGACTCTGCGGATCCCTAGGTGTGCTGATGTCTGTTGGCATTGTTCACTGTGATGTTCTGGCAGAAGAAAGCTTTTGAAGCTCCCAAACGATTGACCAGGAGGGAGGGAACATGCCGGTCGGGCATGTGTCTCTGCCAGGGTCCTACTCGAGAGTAGGATGACCTCCTGACAGAGAGTGCCTGTCACCAGGCGGAGGTGGTGGTGCTTGGGCTGTGAACCTTCATGAGACAATTAGGGCGTCTTACAGCAAGCACACAAGGCTGTCCTAGACAGCCTGTCTTTTGAGCATTAGCCGGGATTTTCTTGCACGAAGCTTATGCAGAGGATCACATTCAAAGCACATGGCTTCCACCCAAGGAACCCAGTGAACTGTAGTTTACCCCTCGTTGTTGTTGTTGTTGTTTAGTTGTGTCCGCCTCTTCATGACCTCCTGGACCAGAGCACGCCAGGCACTCCTGCCTTCCACTGCCTCCCGCAGTTTGGTCAAACTCATGCTGGTAGCTTCGAGAACACTATCCAACCATCTCGTCCTCTGTCCTCCCCTTCTCCTTGTGCCCTCCATCTTTCCCAACATCAGGGTCTTTTCCAGGGAGTCTTCTCTTCTCATGAGGTGGCCAAAGTATTGGAGCCTCAGCTTCAGAATCTGTCCTTCCAGTGAGCACTCAGGGCTGATTTCCTTAAGAATGGATACGTTTGATCTTCTTGCAATCCATGGGACTCTCAAGAGTCTCCTCCAGCACCAGAATTCAAAAGCATCAATTCTTCGGCGATCAGCCTTCTTGATGGTCCAGCTCTGACTTCCATACATCACTACTGGGAAAACCAGAGCTTTAACTATACGGTCCTTTGTTGGCAAGGTGATGTCTCTGCTTTTTAAGATGCTGTCTAGGTTTGTCATTGCTTTTCTCCCAAGAAGCAGGCATCTTTTAATTTTGTGGCTGCTGTCACCATCTGCAGTGATCATGGAGCCCAAGAAAGTCAAATCCCCTTCATGGATTGCCGTGGCGAAGGGGCTTGAATAACTCAGAGAAGCTATGAACTATGCCGTGCAGGGCACCCAAGATGAACAGGTCATAGTGGAGAGTTTTGACCAAACGTGATCCACCTGGAGGAGGAACCGGCAAGCCACTCCAGTATCCCTGCCAAGAAAACTCAATGGACAAAGACAACAGTTTTCCCCTCACGGGGCTACAATTCCCAGCCTCTGACCAAGCTCCAGTTGCCTGGTTTCTTTGGGGGGAAAGACGTGTGCTGAAAATGTAGGGTGTGTACACAGCCATATAGCATCAAGGCAGTAAGTCCAGAACCAGCATCTGGGAAGCTGAGGGGAAAGACTCAGCGCCACCATTATCCTCCCCAGCCTTTTGATTTCAATCAGCCTCAGAAGAAGAAATGAGGGGAGCCAGCTGTGAATCATCTACCCTGCTGAGAAGACCCTTTACCCCCTCTCTGAACTACATTCATTTATTTATTGCTTGTTAACTTTCATTTTACTCTGCCCTTTAGCTCTAGCTTATTTCCTTGTAATACTGAATTTATTCTACATCCCTCTAATTGTTGGTTTTGTCCCATTTATTGACACGTTTCGCAGACTGGGTTGCTAACCCCCACACCCAGTGCCTTATATTTTGATAATTAGTGGGTGTTTTTCTGTCCTGTTTCTCACGGGCTTTTGGCTAGCCTTATCGGCTGGCACCCGTTGCTTTTGCTGCTGTTGTCGAAGGGGTAGCAGAGGCTGTCTGCGGAATTAATGACAGAGAAACCCTCTTTGCTAATGCAGCTGTAAGTGGGTGCTTGTGTCTGGTAATGGGGTCATCCTAGGGAAAGCGAGAGATTTCCAGCTGCAATCCGCCGGCCCTCGAACAATGACCCTCCCACAGGTGCGCCTCGCCCACTTGTTCCTCTTGATCAGTTAACATTGCAAGAGACTGCGGCAGACTGAATGTTGGTTAATGTTTGCAGTGCATTTAGAGACACACTTTCATGGAAGGCAATCTTATTCAGCTATGAGTGATCGTCACAGAAAGAAGAGATAATAAAAACACCAGTAAAATGCCTGTTGTCATGCTTTGTGTGCATGCCGCAAAAGAGCCTGCCTGCCTGTTTCAGAGACTGCTTCGTTGTGGTGCAGAATGCTTACTTTATTATTATTATTATTATTATTATTATTATTATTATTATTATTAGCTGTCCCGTGAATCCACTGGATGACACTGCGGAAGAACGTTGCCTCAGGAGAGTGAGGAAAATTCTCAGGGATGATTCACACCCTGGCTGGCACTTTCTTGATCTCCTGCCCTCGGGCAGAAGATATAGAAGTAGTAGTAGTAGTAATAATAATAATAATAATAATAATAATAATAATAATAATTTATTATTTATATCCCGCCCATCTGGCTTGGTTTCCCCAGCCACTCTGGGCGGCTTCCAACAGAACACTAAAAAACAATAACCTATTAAACATTAAAAGCTTCCCTAAACAGGGCTGCCTTCAGATGTCTTCTAAATTTCGGTAGTTGTTTTTCTCTTTGAATAATAATAAATTATTATTTATCTTTAGAAGCATGATTAGTCGCACCAACAGGGTAAAGAACAGCTTCTATCCGTGGGCTGCTGAATGAAAAGATAACAACAGGGCAACTGACTTTCGGGTTTGGTGGGTGTGTATCAGTAAACGAGGGGAATTAAGACTAAGAGAGCACGACTGGCGGCAACATGGCTTCTGAATCCCAGTTGCTGGAAACTGCAGCAAGAGAGAGTTCTGCTCTTGCGCTCGCATCCTGCTTGCCGGTTTCCCACTGGGGCACCCGGTTGGTCATTGTGAGAACAGGATCCTGGACCGGATGGGTGCCGAATGGCCTGATCCAGCAGCCTCCTCTTACGATCTCATCCATTGTCTAGGGTGGAGAGTGTGCCGTGCTTTACATTTCCCTGGAAAAGTGAATGGCAGTGAAATAAAAAAAATTAAGGTCATATATACACATATATAATAAATGTTCATAAATGTACCAACCAAGCGCATACATAGATGTGTGGACCACACGTCTGGAGCAGCACAGGAGGACCGCCCTGTAACCATTTTCATTCCCAAACTGACCAAATGTTTTCTCTGCAAGGAGGGAGGAAGTGGGGCAGCCTCCCCATTGTCTTTTTGTTCACAAATCCTGTCCTAATGGTATGTCTGTGTATGAATAGGGTGAGCCTGTGACCTGGCTCAGGAACTAAGTATTTGTCATTACAAAAGACTGGCCAGGCTCCCCAGGGTATCCAATCAAGTAAGCATTAACAGGTAACCTGCCAGACAGGAGGTAAACAACGCACTCAGATTTCTGTTGTAGACCGCCCTTTCTGTGATGTAGGTGTGATGTATCTGGGGTGGTGGTCTTGAGCTACACCCCTTCTGTGATGTATGTATGATGTTTCTGGGGGTGGTCTTGGACTCCAGGGCAGGCAATTTAAAATGTCTATATAAGGGCAGACACACTTTTGTTCTATATAAGGGCAGACACACCTTTCCTGCGTGTGAGGGGAGCACCCTGTTGCAAAAGTTCAATAAAGATCAGGCTTACTAGCTGCTTTGCTTCTCAATATTCTCTAGTTGGCCTCTGTTATTTTCCCCTACCAATGGAGAACCTGCAACAGACTCTACAAGGGCTCTTGTGTCCCCCATAAGGGAATAAGGGCAGATTTACGTTTATTACAGCAGCCACGCTTGTAAAGAGGAGAGATTCAAGAGGTGTTTTGAAGGGAAATGTTAGGGTGGGGTGCAGATCTGAAGGGTGAATCCAGCCCAGGAAAGTGCACTCAAAAATTCAGCCCCCTCAAGCTGCTCCACTAAGCCGTGTGCAATTATTCACTCTGTGTTACCGAAAGTTCATCTGCTTATCCCACCAGGCCAATTCAGTGGCGCGTTATAGGTAACCCATTAGGAACAATTGCAAAAGTGCCACAGAAGTAATCGGGGAAGAAGAGGAGCCCAATAAAGATAATGAAGGGGTTTATTAGCACATCCAAGCCTTGCCTCTGTAGAGCTACCTGGGGAGGCACCGTTACGCTCAATGCATGTTATGGGAATAACAAGTGAGCAAGCAAGCGAGTTAGAGGATAAATGAATATTAAAGACAAGGTTGTCAGCTGGGCCCAGTGGTTCCCTCCAGTCGTCTTAGGCTGCAGCTTCCCAGTAGAGGCTGCCATGGCGCTGCCTCGGCCATTCGCACGGCTGCAGCGGTCCCCAGCGTCATTCGCACCCAGAGCTGGGCAAGGGGCTGGCCTGCTGCCGCCACTGCTGCTGTTCAATACTGGTTGGGCTGCAGGGAAAGGAGAGGGAAGGGACTCTTCCCTGTGTTTTGCATCTATTAAAAAAGCTCCCTTAGCAAATTTCGGTTCCCGGAAGGGGCGCCATTTTCTGATTCGCCTCAGGCGGCGAAACATCTTGGCCTGGCTCTGGCCGGCATTCAAGTCAGGACTGGGCTGGAGGAGGGGGCGGGCAGCTGAGCCCCCCTGCCATGACTCAGTCTAAACCCCAAAGAACTCGCAAGCCTGCCGGCTCTCTCTTTTTCACCGCCAATTCATCGCTCCGTTCTTACACACCGCCGATCGGCTTTTAATTGCGCTTAAGCAATCTGCACAGAATTAGGGCAGCTTTGGGGGAAATGAAAAGAGCAAAAAAAAAACCCTAAGTAAGCCCCCAGACGGGAATGAGTGAGAGGAACCAAAGAGCAGAGGAATATCAAGGCGCTAATTTACCCCATAAAGCCAGGGCCAGGGGAGGCCCCGTCATACCGTTGAAAACGATCTCTCTGAGACTTGGCAATTCTCTGCCAGCCCCTGGCCCCCCTCAGCCGGGAGAAACACTTCAGTGGTAATTATGCACAACAGATGTCTCTCCTGCCAGTGCTTTTGTAATCTTAGTGAAGACATTCAGCACTCAACCCTTGGCGCTGTGGATCTCTTTCCAATTTCGAAGTTACAAAATGAACAGGACAAGCTGGCAGCTCCCCAGGTAGGAAAGTGAAGAGAGAGAGAGAGAGAGAGAGAGCGCAATTCCTGTGGCCTCAGGGTGCCAAAGAGGAGATAGCCACATGACTGAGGCGTAGGGTGAACAGGACAGGAGCATCCCAGAACCTGAGATTTCAGGGTCCAGATCTCAGACCTAGAGGCAGCACCTGCCGATGTTCTGTGGCAGCCTCCAGTGATCACAGAATCAAAATAATAATAATAATAATAATAATAATAATAATAATTTATTTGTACCCCACCCATCTGGCTGGGTTTCCCTAGCCACTCTGGGCGGCTTCCAACAAAGATTAAAAATACATTAAAATGTCACACATTAAAAACTTCCCTGAACAGGGCTGCCTTCAGATGTCTTCTAAATGTCAGGTAGTTGTTTATCTGTTTGACATCTGGTGGGAGGGTGTTCCACAGGGCGGGTGCCACCACCGAGAAGGCCCTCTGCCTGGTTCCCTGTAGCTTTGCTTCTCGCAGGGAGGGAACCGCCAGAAGGCCCTCGGCGCTGGACCTCAACGTCCGGGCTGAACGATGGGGGTGGAGACCCTCCTTCAGGTCTACTGGGCCGAGGCCGTTTAGGGCTTTAAAGGTCAACACCAGCACTTTGAATTGTGCTCGGAAACGTACACAATGTATGGAAATGATTAAGGTTCCCCTGGCGGTTCCCCTATGAAGAAATGTTTGGGGACTTTTTAGTTTAGAGAAAAGTCAAGGAAGAGGTGGCACGATAGAAATTCATAAAAGTATGCATGTCTTGGGGGGCGGGGAATGGAAAGGTGGAGACTTGAATTTAGGATTGGGAAAATGAAAGAGATGCTGAAATTACCAGATTTGCCCATTCCTAGCTGCGCAATCACGGGATCTCAGGGTTGTAGAGCTGGAAGGCCTCCAAAGGGTTATCTAGTCCAAACTCTATGCAGGAAATGCAGCTAAAGAATTCCTGTCAGAAGGCCATCTGAGCGGCATCTGTCTATCTCAGGAGACTGTTAAGTTGTGGGCGAACATATCAGGCGACACAGCGATTCTTCAAATAGCTCTTGTTTATTCACAGGCCAGAACAGAACTGAACTGAGGAGCTCAGTCAGCCTGCTTATATAGAGCTCCAGAACAACGTAACTGTAGCAACTTTCTAAAACTATCCAATCATTGGACGTCACTTTCGATCCTTCATTTGCATAACTATCTGCAGTATCCCCCTGCTGGCCCAGGGTGAGAACTTCAGTACATAACGGAGACAATGGAGGGGTGCGTCTTCGGGGGTGAAGTCAAGTGGTTGGAAGAATGCAGCCCTGTTGTGACTGTCGAGGCTGATATGGGAGAGACATGTTTTGTTGCAGCTGGGGCAGATGAAGGCGTCCAGTTGTGCTGTTGCAGATGCACCAGGGCGTTTCTTCTCTCAGCGCTCCACTCAGTGGTCATTCCTCTTCTGGTCACTGCTGTGCACACCTGACCTTTTGAGGGAGTTCTGCTGTTGAACAGCTCCTACTGACAGAAGGTTCTTCCTAATGTAAAGTCAGAATCTCCTTTATGGTAATTTGGATCCATTGGTTCAAGTCCCAACCTTCTGGAGCAGCAGAAAGCAAGCTTGCTCCATCTTTCAAGTGGCAACCCTTCAGATATTTGAATCCATCGCGCACACGCCACCTCTCAGTGTCTGAATAAGCTGTGGTTCAGCTACGTAACAACTTTTCTAAACAGCATTCTCACTTAGGAAATAACTACATTATTTAGAAGAAGCATTCTCATAAATTGCCAGGCTGCTCTCCTCTATAATGCGTCTTTTAATGAGCCTCTTGCTTTGGTTTAATCATTCTTTTAATTGAAAAAAATAATTCTATGGCTCCTGAAAGCTGTTCTGTTTGCCCCTAAACTGCCCATCTGAGTCCTCATTCAGCACCTCCTTCCAAGTCTTCTCCACTGGCTGGACGTCAAGTCCTGTAACAGACTCATAAATGTACAATTAAGTGCTAACTGAAGCTCCATGCAGATAAGCAAGAGACTCTGTTAGTTGGTGGTTTTTCCATCCAGATATGTATAGGTGCAGCCTGTTCTCATTGGAGGGGGGGTCCCACTCCCCAACTTGAGGGTACATCAAGATCCACCACTCTCGTTGGAGGCACAAGTGGTCTCTGTAGCAGTTGCCCCTGCCCAGTCTGTGGAACGCTTTCCCCAGAGAAGCTGACCTGGTGCCAACACTGTCATCTGCTGCCAGGTGGAGACATGTTTATTCTTCCAGCCTCCCCGGGCATTTGGGCAATGACATGGCTTGGGTGGAACAGGCTAGCTTCTGCACATGTTTGCCCAGCCCTCCCTGTCCTCCGTCCAAGCAAGCAGAAGGCACTGACCAACATTCAAGGATGCATTCCAGCCAGGCAGAAGAAGAGAGCTTCAGGGGTCAGGTCGAGAAAACGGAAGGGTCACATTCTGTGCTGGGACCTGAGGTTCTCTCCTGCCATAGACAATTATATTTATTTTATTTTATTCTTATTTTTATCTTATCGTATATTATCTTTTATCTTATCTTATCTTATCTTATCTTATCTTATCTTATCTTATCTTATCTTATCTTATCTTATCTTCTTTTATCTTTTATCTTTTATCTTTTATCTTTTATCTTTTATCTTTTATCTTTTATCTTTTATCTTTTATCTTTTATCTTTTATCTTTTATCTTTTATCTTTTATCTTTTATTTTATCTTATCTTATCTTATCTTATCTTCTTATCTTATCCCCGGCCAAGATGGCTAACCTCAGGTATAAAAACAATTGATTAAAATACAACTTAAAAACCAGAATAAAATACTACTTAAAATGCAGCCTCATTTCAGTGAGAGCCCAGAGCAAAAACTGTTTGGGGGGAGAAAACGTCAAATCTTCACCAAGGCCAACTATCCAGACTGGTCCTACGTGGGCCAGAAAAGCCAGGGAAGCTCCCAAGTAGTAGTTCCATCACAGAAGGAAAAGGAAAGAGGGGGAGGGGATCAGGCTGGTTCCAAGCCAAAGGCCAGGTGGAACAACTCTGTCTTACAGGCGCTGCGGAAAGAAATCAGATCCTGCCGGGCTCTGGTCTCATGTGTGGTGTAGTGGTTAAGAGCGGTGGACTCGTAATCTGGGGAACCGGGCTCACTTCCCTGCTCCTCCACATGCAGCTGCTGGGTGACCTTGGGCTAGTCACGCTTCTCTGAAGTCTCTGAAGTCTCTCAGCCCCACTCACCTCATAGAGTGTTTGTTGTGGTGGAGGAAGGAAAAGGAGAATGTTAGCCGCTTTGAGACTCCTTTGGGTAGTGATAAAGCGGGATATCAAATCCAAACTCTTCTTCTTCTTCTTCTTCTTCTTCTTCTTCTTCATGAGACAGAGCATTCCACCAGGTCGAAGCCATCACTGAGAAGGTCCTGGCCCTGGAGGAGGATAATCTGACTTCCTTAGGGCCCAGGACCTCTAGGGTGTTGCTATTTATGGACCTTAAGGTCCTACGCGGGGCATACCAGGCAAAGCTCCACTGATAACTTTTCTTATTTTTCTTTAAAGTGGAATGCTTAGCAGGGGTAGCCAACATGGTGTAGGTGGCCCCTAGCTGTTTCGGGCTGCGATTCCCATCAGCCCAAACCACACAACCTCATAGAATCATAGAATCATAGAGTTGGAATAGACCATAAGGGCCATCGAGTCCAACCCCCTGCCAAGCAGGAAACACCATCAGAGCACTCCTGACATATGGTTGTCAAGCCTCTGCTTAAAGACCTCCAAAGAAGGAGACTCCACCACACTCCTTGGCAGCAAATTCCACTGTCGAACAGCTCTTACTGTCAGGAAGTTCTTCCTAATGTTTAGGTGGAATCTTCTTTCTTGTAGTTTGGATCCATTGCTCCGTGTCCGCTTCTCTGGAGCAGCAGAAAACAACCTTTCTCCCTCCTCTATGTGACATCCTTTTATATATTTGAACATGGCTATCATATCACCCCTTAACCTCCTCTTCTCCAGGCTAAACATGCCCAGCTCCCTTAGCCGTTCCTCATAAGGCATCGTTTCCAGGCCTTTGACCATTTTGGTTGCCCTCCTCTGGACACGTTCCAGTTTGTCAGTGTCCTCCTTGAACTGTGGCGCTCAGAACTGGACACAGTACTCCAGGTGAGGTCTGACCAGAGCAGAATACAGTGGCACTATTACTTCCCTTGATCTAGATGCTATACTCCTATTGATGCAGCCCAGAATTGCATTGGCTTTTTTAGCTGCCGCGTCACACTGTTGGCTCATGTCAAGTTTGTGGTCAACCAAGACTCCTAGATCCTTTTCACATGTACTGCTCTCAAGCCAGGTGTCACCCATCTTGTATTTGTGCCTCTCATTTTTTTTGCCCAAGTGCCATACTTTACATTTCTCCCTGTTAAAGTTCATCTTGTTTGTTTTGGCCCAGTTCTCTAATCTGTCAAGGTCGTTTTGAAGTGTGATCCTGTCCTCTGGGGTGTTAGCCACCCCTCCCAGTTTGGTGTCATCTGCAAATTTGATCAGGATGCCCTTGAGACCTGGTAATGTCAAGCTGGGGCTGGTGGGAATTGCAGCCCAAAACATCAGTGGGGTGGAATGGGGGGTTCACCAGGGTGGGGGAAAGCGTACCTCCAAGGTAAGAACTTTTCATGGAAGACAAAAGAACAACTCCTTTGAAAATGAAACAGAAAATGCCATTGTTTTTACAGTAGTTTGAAAATCTTCAACAGGCTTCTTCAGTTTGAATTGGTTTCTTGCAATTTCTTAGGTTGATCAGCACAAATTCATCAGTAATTGATGCATCTTTATTCCTCTCCAAGCATATTTCCCTGGGGGTGTTGGATTGGGGGCGATTAGGAACAGAGGAAATGAGAAGAATGTCATCCAGTCCCCTTTTCTGCTTTCTGCTACATGTTCTGAATCTGAATACCAGTTAGCAAAGCTACCGAAAAACCAGCAGGATTCTCCGTCTTCACCTGAAATAATGACTGTTTCTCAGATAATGGCCTTCCTTTTCTTACTACAGACAAATTTATTTGTGGTGGAATAATTATATAGTACGTGAAAGGGGAAGGGCTTTGCTATCCTCATTCTGCTATTACGGTAATTATATGGGCACAATAAGATGAACTACTGTAAAATAGTTTTTAAAGAGGGTTTTTTTGGGGGGGGTGAAGATTAAGTGAAAATCAGCAAAGTTCTGTTGAATATTCTTCAGTTTTGATTTTCAAGTTGAAACAAACAGCAGGAGGAAACATGATATAAGTTTATGAAACTACTCATGGCAAGAACAAAGAGGATAGAAAAATGGTTATCTCCCGCTCTACTAGCACTGGGATTTGTGGACACCCAATTAAACAGAAGGCTGGAAGATTCAGGAAAGATAAAACACAGCACTTTTTTCACGCAGGGTATAGTTAAACTGTGGAACTCACTTGGGTGGCTTTAGAAGAGCATTAGGGGGAAAAAACCCTCATATGAATTATATTGGCGCAGTAAGATTAAAGAAATAGTTTTTAAAATGGGGGTTTTTTTGTGGAGAGTCAGAAAATCAGCGAAGCTCTCCTGAATATTCTTCGGTTTTGATCTTCAAGCTGAAAATAACAGCAAGAGGAGACATGGCAGAAGTTTATAAAACTACGCACGGCAAAAGAGAAAGTGGATAGAAAAAGGGTTTCTTCCTCTACTAGAACTTGCGGACTTCCAGTTAAGCCGAAGGTTGGAAGATTCAGGAAAGATAAAGGAAAGTCCTTCTTCATGCCGTGCAGAGTTAACCTGGGGAACCCCCTGCCACAGGAGGCAGTGATGGCCACCAATGCCTGTGCTGGGCCCGGAAGAACCGTGGTCCAGGACTGGTCCAGAATCTGAAGGTTCCGCTAGGAGTCAGTCCAACAGGGCCAAGGCAGGACACGAGGCAGGAAACCAGGCAAGGACAGGTATATCCGTAACCCCTCCCTTCCTCTTGGGAATTATAACATACCCCTTGCTTTAATCCTCTTATCTTGAATATGCTTCTTCCCCATATTGAAGCATTTAATTAATCAGAGTATTTTCTTTGTTGTGGAGATCTCAGTGCCGTGCAATAACAGAGCAGGTGCCTCGTTCTTTTAATATCCTTTAGCGTATCAGCAAATCACGGTTCGTCCAATGAACCTCTTGGCCATCTTCCGACTTGGAAGGTGATTCTCCTTTCCAATTTGTTTTTAATATTGGGCTAGTAGACATTCTGTAAGAAGGATTCCAAAGCCTGATGCAAGGTTTGAGAATTTATTAGTTGCTTGTATTTATATCCCAACTTTTCCTCCAAGGAGCTCAAGGGGACTTGCATGGTCCCCCTCCTCCTCATTTAATCCCCACAACACCCCTGTGAGGTAGCTTAGGAGTGACCGACCCAGTGGGCTTCTTCATGGCTGAGTGGCAATTCGAACCCAAGTCTCTCAGGTCCTAGTCCAACACTCTAATCACTAAACCGCATGATGTACCCTCCACCCCATAACTGAATTCTGGAGAACTCTCTAGTGGACCTTATGTGATTGGCTAACATTGGTCACAGGGAGGTATCTAGTGAAGGAGAGACTCCATTTTATGTGAAGCAAGATGGCTGTGTTTTAGAATCCACTGTGAACACTGCTAAGTTGAATAGAGCGTTGGAGCACTTCTTCTCCGCTTGAAAGCTGCATTTTCATTCCTCTTACTTCAACAAAGGAAACGTGGAGATGACAAGCCCTTCCTTGAGTGATGTTTGACGCTGGAAGATCTGCTTCCGCAGTTTAATCTTTATTTGATTCTGCTCTCTGTACGGCCATGCACCACTTGCCTTCACGACAGCTTTCCACGTCCCCCGGTACAGTCAATAACGCGACTAATGTCTAATAAAAAGGCCCATTAATATGATTCATGGGTAGTCGTCACCCGCCGTGAAGTGCTGGGAACAGCCGCCTCACGTGGCGCAGAGTTCTCATCTGAGAAGACAAATATTGCCCACATTATATTCCCTGTCAGGGAGGAAGATCCCCACTCTTCTCGTATGATCTTCTTTTGCTCTAACCAATGGATTCATCCACAGCCCGAAACCTGAGGTGCTCTGGGAGGAAAAGTCCCTTTGGGACATCTGGTCGGCCACTGTGAGAACAGGACACTGCAGTAGACAGACCATTCACCATTGGGATCTTTTTATGTTCTTGTTTCGGCCAGAGATATTCCCTGTTTCTTCAAAGAGTCATGGGTGATTGTCCCTGAGTCTTGACCCTCAGAGGGGTTGCGTTAGGAACATGAGAGATTACCTTCCCCCCTCCAATTTCCAATCTATTCTGTTTATATTTATTGTCTATTTGTTCATGCTGCTTTTCAATGTAAATACGCTCAAAGCAGCTCATCACAGAACTACGCAACTGCAAATCTATGCATCATCCTAAGATGCAAATGCTTTGGGGGGAAAACAGAGCAATCCAACAAATAACTCAATTTGATTACAGAACGTGAACATGACAACATTTAAAGTCATCATATATTAGATATTGCTTCACATTGCCAGGAGGAGTCTTGAAGTGACTGTAAAGCGACTTTACAGGGGCAATTATGTGCAAAACGCATTAAAATGGAACAAATATGCTAAAAATGTTCACGAACGAAAAATTCCCAACAACGCAAAACACTGGCGATGAACATGACAGGAACGTAGGAAGATGCCTTGCAACAAGACAGACCAACAGTCCATCTATCTGAGTATTGAATATTGTTTATCATCTATTGATTAAAGCTGATGTTTTCACTGTTAAATCGCATTGAGACATTGGAAGCGATTAAACAAATGGAAATAAATCAGTAAATTACAAGCCTTGCAGCCAGTACTGGGAGAAGCTCCCTGCTTGCCTGCTGGTGCCTTGATCTTCTTTTTAAAAGAGTCGATTTCCCCTTGCCAGACTTTTCTGGTTGTTTGCAATGATTCCATCACACCTTGCAGGGATAATGAGTGAAGAAGCCAAACCCTTTGCGAGTGCAGAAGAGGGAGGCAGGGCCCAGCCGTGCTGGGACTTGTTCCTGGAACCTCAGGGATCCGCTTTAATAGGGGGAACCTGCACCAAAGGCCACTCGCTCATCAGAGACGCTACCGAAGGCAGATTTTGCAGGCACATTTCATGCCGGTTCCCCAGCAAACTCACAGCTTGTTGCAAGTTTCAAAGGCTGCCTTTGGATGCTGCAACTGCACAGATGGTGGAATCACCTGGGTGTGCGATGTCTTGCAGAGAGACACTAAGCACAGGAGCTGTGATCTGGGCTGGGGCGATAGGCAGAGGGAGCTTTAAGAAAGAACCAGGGTGATCTCTGGGACGCGATGAAGGAAAGCAGACGGGCAGCTGGGTTTTAAGGGCATTCAGTCCAGGTGTGAGGAGCAAAAGGCCACTGAAACAGCAAGCGAGGTTTGTTCCTGTTTACTCATTTTATCTAAGAAGACTTCTATACTGCTTCTAAGCAGTTGGCATGAAACAATGGGAAATGTACCTAAAACAATACCGATAAAATCCAGCATTAGAAAGAAGTAAACATGGAACAAAATTAAAATTAAACTAGCCGTGTTAAAACAGAGATACATTATAAAATCAAATGCCTGGATAGTCTGGCCTTAAATAAAGTTTTTTTTAGCAGGCACCGAAAACATTCGGTACGACTGTGCCATACTGTAACCACACTTGGAACGTAGTGTGTAGTTCTGGTCGCCTCGACTCAAAAGGGTACTGAAAAAGGTTCAGGATAGGGCAATCAAAATGAGCAAAGGGATGGAGCGACTCTCCTGTGAGGAAAGCATATGGGGGTCTTTAGTTTGGAGCAGGGGTTCCCCAAGGGGCAGGACTGCTCCAGAGGGTGGGATCACCTGGGGGAGGTGTGTGCTAAGTGTCAAGCAGATAGCAGAAGGGGGAGGTGGGCTGGAGATGTAGCTGACAATCGGGCTTTGAGAAACTGATGCCACTGGATCAAATTCACCAGTTTTGTTGAATTAATTTAACTGGATAGTTTAAATTGGATTTTGAATGAATATGAGTTTTATTGTGGTATGATCTTTCTTAGTGGGTCCTGCAAACCGCTATTCTGAATAATGCTTTTTCCAGAGTAGGGTAGGGGGCACCGGGGGTGAGTTTTTGGAGCCAAGGGGCTGGTGGCCCAAAATAGTATGGAAACACTGGTCTAGAGAACAGGCAAGCATGAGCTGACGCGATAGAAGTGTATGAAATTATTCATGGCAGGAAGAAAGCAGAATGCAGGAGGAAAGAGTCGCAAGGGGCTTTCAGGGACATTTATTCCTGGTCGCTCTCACTGATCTTCTCATTGCGGAGCCTCTGAGAAGCTTCCAAGGGATGCCCCAGGGGTTCCCAGAGCAGAGTTTGAAATTCACTGAACTCATAACACAGCAGAACCAAACAAGCTTTGGAAAGGAAATGTGTTCAGGCTATTTGCCCAAACCAAGGATAAATTATAATCTCAATGAATTTAGATCCTACGATGTTGGACTTTCATTATGCACACACCCCTGCGCCAAAACAGCTTCTTTAATGGGGAATATTGGGAATCAAATCAGGAGAATGTTTGTGAGCAAATTCCACCAGGAGATGGACTCAGGGGGGGATCTTGCCCATATTCTTCTCAACAAAAACATCAGCCACATCCTGCTCACCAGGTCCGTAAAGACCCAGAGAAAACCCTGCTCTCATTTTCCTTGGCCCCACATATGAAGATCAGGCCAAAGGCCAACCACATGCAGATGGAAAGCCCCAAGAGCAAAAATCCAAAGCTGTCAGTGTCCACAGTTGACAGTTTAGTACAGGGGTCAGCAAACTTTTCCAGCAGGGGGCCGGTCCAGTGTCCCTCAGACCTTGTGGGGGGCCGGACTATATTTTTTTGAGGGGGAAATGAACAAATTCCTATGCCCCACAAATAACCCAGAGATGCATTTTAAATAAAAGAACACATTCTACTCATGTAAAAACACACTGGTTTAGAAGGTGATTGGGCCTCATCCGGCCCCCGGGCCTTAGTTTGCCTACCCATGGTTTAGTGTGAAATGCTTTGAAAGTGGCTGCTCTGATCTTCCAGCCAGCTGAGCTTGAGTCTGATATTGTAAATAAATAAATGCAGAAATTTGCCAGGCCCTGTGAACTTCCATCTGTGCTTGGCTTTTCCATTCAATCAGAGACAACAGCAGACTGTCTTTGTGGCCAAGGAAAGGGTAGGAGGAGCCTAGAGACAACTGCTTCCAGATTATCTGTTTATTGAAAATTCACCCCGATTTATCCATGGGGAGGTTAGGTGATGCTGTGCCAAGCAAGTGTTATCTCAGATTTTGCAGTATAATTTCCCCATCACTTTCCATCTTGCAAAAAGTTTGATTGGGGCGGCGAGTGAGTGGGTTTCCAGTACAAGTTGCAAATGTAGAGCATGAGATCCTTGATTTCAGGGCTGTGGGTTCGTGTTGGGCAAAAGATTCCTGCATAGCGGGGGGTTGGACTAGATGGCTCTAAGGGTCCCTTCCAACTCTACGCTTCCGTGATTCTGTGACATTAATTGTGAACCCTGAATCTGCCGGAATGTGATTGAATCCCAGCTGAAAATAAAGACAGCCTGGAAACGCCTTTGGTTTTATTAAATGCACTGGAAACAGTTGTTGTTGTTTAGTTGTTTAGTCGGGTCTGACTCTTCGTGACCCCCTGGACCAGAGCACGCCAGGCACTCCTGTCTTCCACTGCCTCCCGCAGTTTGGTCAAACTCATGTTCGTAGCTTTGAGAACACTGTCCAGCCATCTCGTCCTCTGTCGTCCCCTTCTCCTTGTGCCCTCCATCTTTCCCAACATCAGGGTCTTTCCCAGGGAGTCTTTTCTTCTCATGAGGTGGTCAAAGTCTTGGAGCCTCCGCTTCAGGATCTGTCCTTCCAGTGAGCACTCAGGGCTGATTTCCTTCAGAATGGATCGGTTTGCTCTTCTTGCAGTCCATGGGACTCTCCAGCACCATAATTCAAAAGCATCCATTCTTCGGCGATCAGCCTTCTTTATGGTCCAGCTCTCACTTCCCTACATCACTACTGGGGAAACCATAGCTTTAACTATACGGACTGGAAACAGAGGTGGTCCCAAAGAAGTCTTTGAAATGGATGGCATCAAGGCATTCACACATAGCACCAGTGCCAGTGGTCATGGCAGTGCAGGGCCAATATCCCAGCGGAAACAGAAATACGGGGAACAAATATATGAAGAATTTTAGGTGTCTGACAAATGTAGAGTTATGAGGGAAAGATTGCTTCCACCTAATTGTTCTGTGTTTAGGATTAATTTTAAGTGATTGAATGGTCTGTAAAAAATTACCATACACTGCTTAGAGACTTCAGTATTTAACAAGTATGTAAATAAGTATCTAGCCCCACCCACTTTGCCTATGACCCCACCCACCTCTATCATGTGACCCTCCCCAGAACATTGCCTCTGTGGGAATGTAGCAGTTGGTTTATTAAAGGCTCCCTACCTGCACCTATGGGACGCGGGTGGCGCTGTGGTTTAAAATACAGAGCCTAGGGCTTGCCGATCAGAAGGTCGGTGGTTTGAATCCCCACGACAGCGTGAGCTCCCGTTGCTCAGTCCCTGCTCCTGTCAACCTAGCAGTTCAAAAGCATGAAGTGCAAGTAGATAAATAGGTACCGCTCCAGCGGGAAGGTAAACGGCGTTTCCATGCACTGCTCTGGTTCCCCAGAAGCGGCTTAGTCATGCTGGCCACATGACCCGGAAGCTGCATGCCGGCTCCCTCAGCCAATAAAGAGATGAGTGCCGCAACCCCAGAGTCCCTTTACCATTACCTTTGCCTGCACCTTAGCCTGCATCTATGCCATACCTTTAAGGCATATTCCTGCTCCAGGGGAACCGGAGTTTACTCCACAGAGCAACACCTTTAACAAACTACAGTTCCCAGGGTTCTTAGGATGTGTGCACTGTAAATGTGGTTTTAAGGTATGGTGTGTACACAGGCTTGCCCATATATACCAGTCACTTCCTGCTGTACACAACAGCCCTGCTCAGTCTCCTTCATTTCCCCAGTGTGTATGCTGGTCAGAGCTAGAGTTGCCAACTGACCAAGTAAAACCCTTCATGGTTTGCTCCTGTGCTCTTTGGCAACCGATGTCTGCAAAAATGACCAAGTGTTATCATTTGCTAAGGCCTGCGGATACCGCAGCTTGCAACAGCACAGGAGCAGGGGTCGATATATTGCTTTGGCAACCAGAGCCAGAGCCTGGTGGCCTGAGGAACCTTCTGGAAGTTTGTTCCAGCAAGAAACATTAATTAAAGCAGCCAAAGGAGCAGGAGCTGCTGGCGGAATCCAAATCTTGGCAAAGCGCATTGAGGTTTTTCCTTTCGTTGCTGCGGCTGGTTCACCACGGCCAGTTGAACCGAGAGGTCTGTTGAGATCGCAGAGCAAAATGAAAGTAATTGCTTGATGATAGGGAAGAGTTCAGCTAAACCTTCTCGGGGGGGAACCTTTCCTCCATTCTGAATTTGATCAGACAAGAGGCTCCAGAGAAACGGCAGCAGCTCGCATCTCTGAGAGCCTCCTTCTGGGTTTGCACTTGCCTCTCTCGAGCCTCTTCACGCAACTACTGTATTTTTTGCTCTATAAGACTCACTTTTCCCCTCCTAAAAAGTAAGGGGAAATGTGTGTGCGTCTTATGGAGCGAATGCAGGCTGCGCAGCTATCCCAGAAGCCAGAACAGCAAGAGGGATTGTTGCTTTCACTGCGCAGCGATCCCTCTTGCTGTTCTGGCTTCTGAGATTCAGAATATTTGTTTTCTTGTTTTCCTCCTCCAAAAACTAGGTGCGTCTTGTGTTCTGGTGCGTCTTATAGAGCGAAAAATACGGTAATCGCTTCTGCCAGAACTGCTGAGAGAGAGGAGCAGCAACAGATTGCAGTCTCTGTTCTGGCTCGTGGACCATTAGAACGGAACAGCTGGCCTGGGGGTAACATCGCAGCCAAGAGAGAGGTCTGAGCTGGAATCTGGGATAAGTGGCCTTTTGTTCAACGGTTGGAAGAAGCTGCTATCATTTGAACGGCAAGAGTGGGTAATCTACGCCGGATATTGTAGCCCCTGAAGTATCAGATCTGTCTGCAAAAGCGGAAAGCAGTCAAAAAACACACACACACAAAAAAACACAACTCTCTCCCTGTCTCTCTCTTTTTAATGATATCCCTGCAGTTTGTCATTGGTATTGTTACAGAATCTATGTGTGTTCCAGAGGTTATTTGTGTGTACACAGCCCCAAAAGAGATGACAAACCACCTCTTGTTGTTGTTGTTGTTGTTGTTGTTAACGTTTATATACTGCCCTTCATAGGGTGGTTTAAAGCATAAAAACACAAAATACATATCAACAAGTATTGTATTGTGTTTTTAATATTTTTTGTTGAGAGCTGCCCAGAGTGGCTGGAGCAATCCAGTCAGATGGGCGGTATATAAATAATCAATTCCTATTACTATATATAAGTCCAAATGTTACCCCCCAACACATTTAACCCTGGGGGAAAGTGGCAAGGGGGGTGCCGCAGGGTTCTCTCCTGGGCCCGTTGTTGTTCAACGACTTTATAAACAACTTGGATGAAGGAACTGAGGGGAGGCTCATCAAATCTGCAGATGGAACCAAACTGGAAGGGGTAGCCAGTGCTGCAGAAGGCAGAATCAGGATTCAAGATATCCTTAACAGATTGGAGAACTGGGCTGAAATGAACAGATTGTGTTTCAATAGGGACAAATGAAAGGATCTGTACTTAGGCAGTAAGAATCAGCTGCACAAATATAAGATGGGGGACACCTGGCTTACTAGCAGTACACGTGAAAAGGATCTAGGGTAGGGTTACCAGACGTCCCCGGTTCCCGGGGACAGTCCCCGGATTTGCAAATCTGTCCCCGGACAAATTCCATCCTCGGAATGTCCCCAGATTTGCAAATCTGTCCCCGGAAAACGTGGCAGTGGCAGCCTCAGCAGCCCGGAGCCAGCCTGGTAGCGCAGTTGGCTCTGGCTGGCTTCAGGAGCTGCTTGCTGCTCGCTGCCGTGGCGTCCACTATTTTTCCTTGCCAGAAGTCCCCATATGATGTGTTGTGCACAAGACGCGTCATATGGGGACTTCCAGGAGGCAAACTGGCGGGTGCCAGAGCCAACTGCGCTACCAGGCTGGCTCTGGGGTGCTGACTGCCACTGCTGCTGCCACTGCTGAAGGGGAACTGGGGACGTCTGGCGGTACAGATCTCCTGCCCCCTTCCCCCTTTGTTTTGACTGATCAGGGGAAGCTCGGGAGTTGTGGGTGGGTGGCCATTGCCCAGTTTTTTAAAAACTGCGCATTTATGTTTCACAGGGTGCAAAAGAAGGGCTTTGCACCTTTATATAATATGCATGTGTGCTTGGGCCCAGGATCTTTTGCCTCACCATTCCCACTACAGTGGTACCTCTGGTTACGTACTTAATTCATTCTGGAGGTCCATTCTTAACCTGAAACTGTTCTTAACCTGAAGCACCACTTTAGCTAATGGAGCCTCCCGCTGCTGCCGCGCAATTTCTGTTCTCATCCTGAAGTAAAGTTCTTAAGCCGAGGAACTATTTCTGGGTTAGCGGAGTCTGTAACCTGAAGCGTATGTAACCCGAGGTACCACTGTACTGACTCCCTGTTGCTACTCAGCTTCAAAAAAAAGGGGGGGAAGTGTCCCCGGATTCATTGAAAAAAATCTGGTAACCATAATCTAGGGGTCTTGTTGGACCACAAGCTGAACATGAGTCAACAGTGTGATGAAGCAGCAAAAAAGGCTAACGTGATTCTGCCTTGGTCAGACCACACCTGGAAACTGTGTCCAGTTCTGGGCACCACAATTTAAGAAGGATATTGACAAGCTGGAAGGTGTGCAGAGGAGGGCGACCAAGATGATCAAGGGTCTGGAAAGCAAGCCTGATGAGGAACAGGTGAAGGAGTTTAGCCGGGGGGAAGGGAGACTGAGAGGAGGCTGGGGATTGAACTTGCAACTTTCTGCACGCAGAGCAGATGTTGCGACCATGACAGCACTGGGCCTTCATTCACCTGCTTGTCTTCCAGTGTGGTTTGTGCTGTCTGCTGCCAGCAATGCCCTTCTGTGTTCTACATGGGACAGAATAAACGGACCCAAATCTGACATCAGAAATTGGGAGAATATTTCGACCTCCCAGGACACTCTGTAACTGGTTTTCAGCTGGCTGTTCTGGAACAAGGAACTTCAAAGGAAGAATAGGAGGGGAGACAGTTGAATTTCCATTCATGGACAAGTTAAATGTCATCAGCTGAGGGTTAAATCAGGAGAAAGCATTTTTATCACTCTGCAATGGGTTGATTAGCTCACCAGTGCCTTGGTGTCTGTGCTATCTGTGACTGATTCTTGTGAATGGTTCCCGGACACCCAGAGACATTCAGGTGTGCCTATTTCATTTACATTTAAACTCTAAATCACCATTAGGTGGAATTTTTACATCTCTCTGCCATTCAGCTGCCAACTTCCGCTTTTTCCCTTTGTCAACTTAAATTTCATTTCATGCATCTGAATAGGTGGGTTTGAGTCTAGGAAAGCATATAAGGTTTTTGTTAGTTTTAATTTTATTTATTCAAGGTTTTTGTTAGTTTTAATTTTATTGGTCGTAAAAAAAAGCTTTCAAAAGTAGCACATAAAACCATATAACAAAAACCCTATTAAAAAGTTTAAATCAGACAACAATTCACTATTGTGGAAATATGTGTTCTTGATTTCCTGCACAGGCCTGGCGGAAGAGAAAAGTTTTCTGCAGGTGGTTAAAAGTTGAAAAAGTTAATTATTGATCTTTCTTTGTTATTAAAGTCATCCAACTTGGACGACTTTAAAAGAGGATTCGACAAATGAATGGAGAATAAGGCCATCCATGGCTGCTAACCCTGATCCTATGCTCTCCTTCCATGCAGCAATGCTTCTAGATGCCAGTTGCTGGAAACCATTAGATGGGCCCCCTACAAAGCGGCCCATGGGGGTCTTTTAAGTGGCCCCCGAGCTGCCCCTGAACCGAGACATCCGCTCGGCGAGTCCCTGCGCACTGCGCTAAACCGGTGAAGCGCAGTGTGGGGACTCGCCTCTGCGGTGCCGGAAATCGTGTCTGTGCAGACGCAGACGCCGGTGTTGCAGGAACGCCCCCACCCAATCATTCAGTTTGTACAAACTTCACACACACACTCACACCCTACATACGCTACGCTTCTGTTATAAATTCATAGAAAATCAACCATACATTGGATTTGCACTGTTCCACTTTTATTTTACTCCATGAAGGAAGGACTACAAAATAGGGAAGGTTTGATATAGGCCAGCCATAATCCCTTGAGCACACCAGCACCTACACAGGAGCCCTGCCCAGTTGCTATGCCAACCCTGGTGGTCCTAGACAGAAGACCATCAAGGTCACAAAGAACTTGCATATGGGAGTGGATTCAGCACGGACTGGAACAAAGGACAATGATCAGATCTTCCCTCAGGGGGCAGGAAACTGCAAACTCGCCTTTGTCACCTGGAAAGTACTCATGGGGAAGGGGGAAAGGAGGAACCAGCCAGGTGACAAGAGACTCAGGTTACCTCCACAACTCCTCCCTCAACCCCTCCTTTTGGTGATGTAGTTGTGATGTAGTCTTAGGGGTGTAGTTTGGGGGATTAGCAACTAATAAAAGTTGGGGTCTTCTTTTGTTCTGGGCTTCCATTTTGCTTCATCTTGTTGTGGGTGGGAGTCCTGTCATGACAGTTTCCAATAAAGGCCAAGCCTACAGGCTGCTGTTTTGCTCCAAATTGTCCTGGTTGGTGTCTTTGTTTTTTGCCCAAGGGAGCCCTCAGATTCCTCCGTTAACACCAGAAATCCTGGGAGTGCGTGCGATCCGGCCCTCGGAGGGCTCTCTGCTGGAGTGAACCGGCCCAGGCGAGGTAAACCTTGCTGACCCCTGCTCTCACTGAAGACAGCTTCCCGAAGTTTCCTCCCATGGCATCTGCCTTCCTCCTTTGCAATGCCTTGCATGCCTGCAGGGGATCAGGAAAATGATTTTTTCCCCAGCCCATCTAAATTTCGTGGCTCAGCAACAGACTTCAAAGGACAAAGGGAAGCACAATAAATGATGGCTGAGAGACCAGTGTGTACAAAAAGATAAAGGTACTAGCAAAAGAGATCCAATTTACCTTCCCCCCCCTCCACCAGCCCCACGTACCAGGGTGAAATCTGGCTACCAAACCAATTGCTGTTTGTTTAGGGAAGTTTGGGAGAGCCTTGTGCAATCTGCAGGTGGCCCTTTCAGCATTTGCAGGGACCGTATCCAGACAGCGCTGGAGAACAACCCGTCCCAATGTTTTCCTCTTCTGGCTCCTGCCATCGCCAGGTGCTGCAAGGCAGGGAAAGGAGAAAGTCAGCCATTCAAGTGCAGTTGTGGCAATAATTATGCAAACTAGATGTTAAGTTGTGGGCGGACATATCAGACGACACAGCGATTCTTCCAAAGCAGCTCTTTATTTTGTAAGCTGGAACAGAACAAACTGAGGAGCTCAGTCAGCCTGCTTATATAGAGCTCCAGAACAATGTAACTGTTGCCATTTTCTAAAACTATCCAATCACTGAACGTCACTTTCGATCCTTCATTTGCATAACTATCTACAGTATCCCCCTGCTGGCCCAGGGTCAGAACTTCAGTACATAACACTAGGCTATTGCCTGAGTCCCGACGTTGCGTTTTTTGGTGTTGCCACAGAGCCAGCTGAAGTCTGAGAAGAATCAAACAGGTGCATCTAAGCATATTTTTTTTTAAGTTTTGGGGGCAGGTGGGCTATGTGCCTGGGCCCCCTTCTAATTCCTGGAACAGCCAGGCTAGCTTCCCTGTGAGGTAATGGGCCATTAAGGAAACAAAGGAAGTAGCCCTGTGCCCAGAAACCAAATGGGTGGGTCTTGTTATGTACTGAAGTTCTCACCCTGGGCCAGCAGGGGGATACTGTAGATAGTTTTCACTCAGGTCCACATAAGCAAATAAGGAATTGAAAGTGATGTTCAGTGATTGGATAGTTACAGAAAGTTGTTACTGTTGCTTTGTAGTTGAGCTCTATATACGTAAGCAGGCTGACTGAGCCCTTCAGCTCAGTTCTGTCCTGACCTGTGAATAAACAAAAGCTGTTTGAAGAACCGCTGTGCCGTCTGATATGTTCACCCACAACTTAACAGGTCTCTCTGCCTCAACTCACTGGTAGAAAGGCTAAGGCCACAGCTGAGTCATGTGAACTCGAAGGTGGAAGCAAGGGAACGCATCCTGACAGAGCTTGTGTCAGGCTTGGGATGGGTGTCTTGTTAGGAAAAAGTTATAAACTAGTTGTAAACAAAATCTTCCCTTCTGGGGTATCCAAGAGCCCGTATAGAGTCTTTAAGTGGGTTTCCCATCAGTCGGAGAAAATAACAGAGGCCAACCAGAGAATATTGAGAAGCAAAGCGGCTAGTAAGCCTGATCTTTATTGATCTGTTGCAACAGCGTGCTCCCCTCACACGCAGGAAAGGAGGAGGACCCAGAACCAAGGTGTGCCCACCCTTATATAGACATTTTAAATTCCCTGCCCTGGAGCTCCAGACCACCCCTCCATACATCATACATACATCACAGAAGGGGTGTAACCTAAGACCACCCCCCACAAACATCATGCCTACATCACAGAAAAGGTGGTCTACAACAGAAATTTGAATTACAGATAGGTAGCCGTGTTGGTCTGCTGTAGTCAAAACAAAACAAAACAATTCCTTCCAGTAGCACCTTAGAGACCAACTAAGTTTGTCGTTGGTATGAGCTTTCATGTGCATGCACAAGTTCATACCAATAACAAACTTAGTTGGTCTCTAAGGTGCTACTGGAAGGAATTTTTTTATTAAGAAATTTGAATGTTGTTGTTTTTCCTGCCTGCCAAGTTATCTGATCATGCCTTATCTGATTGTCTTTCCTGGAAGTCTGCCCATTCCTTTGAGATGGTGATTACCCAATTCCTGAGACAATGGGAAGGTTCCCTCACCCCCTCCCTCCTTGCAGAGAAAATATTTGGTCAGTTTGGGAGTCAAAATGGTTTCAGGACAGTCTTCCTGTGCTGCTCCAGACTTGTGGTCCACATATCTATGTGCGTGCTTGATTGGTACATATATGAACATTTATTATATATATAAGACCTCAATTTTTTTATTACAAACTCAAACAAACAAACAAAAAGCAGCCAGTCCCTGGCAGATCCCCCACCCTGGCTGGCTTCGCTCTCCGAGACCGGGGCAAAAGAATCCTGGAACTGTAGTTTGTTAAAGGTGCTAAGACTTGTTGGGAGGCCTCGAGTCCCCTCGCCGAACTACGGTTCCCAGAGTTAAACCAGTCTGGGAATTGTAGCTCTGAGAAGGGAATAAGGGTTCTCCTCACAACCTTCAGCGCCCTGAACAGGCTACAGCTCCCAGAATTCCTTGGGGGTGTGATAGGAATTTTATGGTCTTAGATATATGGCAACGTTCATAACCACACGTACATAGATCAGCACAGGAAAGCCAACCTGGAACCATTTTGATTCCTAAACTGAGCAAATGTTTCTCTGCATGGTAAAAATGGAAAAGCCTCCCCATTGTCTCTTCCTTCACAAATCCTGTCTTAATCTGTGTTTGAATAAGGGTGTGAGCCTTATCATTACAAAAGACTGCCAAGGCTCCCCAAGAAATCCAATCAAGTAACCTGCCAGACAGGAAATAAACCAAGCGACAGGAGAAAACCACATGCAAATGTTCTGTTTTAGACCGCCTTATCTGAGGGGTGGTCTTAGGTTACACCCCTTCTGTGATGAATGCATAATGTTTCTGGGGGTGGTCTTGATCTAGAGGATGGGAATTTCAAAAGTCTTTATAAGCCCTTGCACAGCATTTTTGTGGGTCCTCTTCCTCTCCTGCGTGTGGTGAGGAGTACCCTGTTGCAACAGATCAATAAAGATCAAGCTTACTAGCTGCTTTGCTTCTCAATATTCTCTGGTTGGCCTCTGTTATTCTCTCCTACCAATAGGGAACCTATGTAAGGATTCTATACGGGCTCTTGGATACCCCAGAAGGGAAAAGGGCATATTTTTATTTACAACAGGGGAAGCCATGACGGTTTATAAAGCGGTATCATAGCGCTTTAAACGCATGGCATGAATGTGAATTGCGCAAGGCGCTCAAATTCTTCTTGCAAAATACTGTCTGCCTGGAGGCCTCCCCTCCTGCCCCTGGATTTTGTCGAGGAGAATATATATATATATATACCGAAAATGCACGTGCATTTTTCAAGACGTTAGCACTCGCCGCATTGGGAGCGTGAGGGGAAAAGTCTAGAATGTTCCGGAAGGAATAGTTACCTGTTCTGTTTTCCCTGCTCATCCATCACTGGCCCAAAAGCCGTGAGACAATGCAGCTGTACTTCTGTCCACCCAAAAGGGGAACGAAAAATAAATAAAATAAAACGTCACTTTCACAGAAAACAGCTCTGAAGAGAGCCTTACAAGGCTGGCGAAGTCTTCTCAGATGGATGGGTTTTTAATCCGAAAGCCGAGGTGATAAATCGCCCGGCTGGAATAATACACGCACGCATACAGTCTGCTGATGCATCTAGACGGCATGAGGTTCGGCCAAATATCCTAGGAAAGTCGTGGAAGGAAAGAAAAGAGAATTTAGGAGTTCCTCACCCAAAAAACGGGGATGCAGTTGTCTTGTGATGATCCATTTCAGCCCTCAGCACCCCACACGTACAGTTTCAGGGGGGGAACATAATAAATTCTGATTTCTCTCCTAGCACAAACTGTTCACGCTACTTTTTTTCCACGTTGCCCTGGCCAAGCATTGCGTCCGCCTTTGGCAGGAGGTCTTGATGGCCTTTCTGGGATGAATTGCTTAAAAAAAAAAAAAGATAAATACTGTTTAGAAGAAAGACAATAGATGGTGTCCAACATTTGTCATATTCAGAGAAGATCCACTGGAATTAATGAGCGTGACTCACTCGGGCCCCTTTGTTTTCCACTCAGATCCAATTCCTGGGCTGTATTTCTATGCGCAGTTACACCAGAGAAAGGCTCAGTGGGGCTTACTTATGAGTAAAGCTGCTGCTGAACAGCCCACTCCTGTAATGCCTACTCTGAAGTATGCCGCATTATATTCAACGGGGATTGTAGCCTTAGCAATTCATTGCATACGTGAATTAGCCTATGAGTAAATTCAATATTCCTTGAGGAAAACACACACATACACACTTAGGGTTTTCCCTAGCTTTGGTTCTACTCAGAGTAAACCCAGTGGAATTAATAGACATGACTAACTTAGGTCCATTAATGTCTCCGGATCTGCTTAGTTTTTATTTTTAGGTGATATTGTGTGTCACTTAAACAGATGGGTCTGTAATGCTTGTTTATGCATGCATAAAATAGCTCTTTTGGACCCTGTTTTTTAAAAAAAACAAAAATAAAAATACAAGAACATTACTAACAATCTCATATTTTCTGTGTTGATTTACCTGCCAAGGTGATTGGTGCAAGAAAAAAGAGAGAACAAGGCCTTTTCCTTTAAATATCATCATTAGACACTGCAATGTGATATTATGTGTCAAAAATTTTCATTTCAGATTGCAGGATGTTATCAGATTTGCAAACATCCATTCAGTTAGAGATGTGGAACCTGTGCCCCCCCTCCAAATGCATGTTTATTCTGGATAAGAGGAGATATGATCGCCAACTTCAAATCTCTAAAGGGCTGTCACATGGAAGATGGAGCAAACTTGTTTTCTCCTGCTCTGGCAGGTAGTACATGAAGCAGTGGATTCAAATTAGCTGAGATTCCCGCATGGCAGGGGGTTGGACTAGATGACCCCCAGGAGCCCTTCCAACTCTACACTTCTGTGATTCTATATTGCTGGACTCCCAAATCTCATTAGCCCTAGCCAGCCTGACCAAAAGTCAGGGATGATGGAAGTAACACCTGTTGTAGATTGCATTATCTGTAGCTGATGTTTCGTAAGGTCCTTCGAGACTTCCTTGGCAGTAGGAAAGCAATGCATAAATTACTAACTTATAACTAACTGATCCGCTGAACCGTTTTAAGCCCAATATGAACTTCTGGAGGAAATGATGCTCATTTTGTAGCACAGCCAAGCATCACACACTGATAGCTAAATGGAGTGATTATGAAATTCGGCAACATCGGTAATTAGGATTCAAACTTATTATCGTGGCAGGGAAGGAAACCTGCTGCTCACTTGTAAAATGTGCAACGTGCGTGTCAGTTTTATCCCTCTTCACACTCATCAAGCAGTCTCACCAGGACCACTGCAAATGTGAGAATCCTACACAGAGCCACAGACAAGGAATATACATGCCCTGGTTCCTTTTTTTAAATAATATTTTTATTCATTTTCCAATACAAATTTATACAATTCATACATCTTAATTACATCCCATTTCTCTTTTTTGACTTCCCTCAGCCTATCTGAGACTCCTTCATAACTTTATTTCTTCCACATTTCTAACATTATACTTATATTGTTATTATGTATTAAACCTTATTTTTAATAATATTCTAACATTTCTTCTCACAGAGCTTCATTAAAACTTACAAACGTTATCTGATTGTCACTTAATTTTTGCATATACTCTGTAAATTTCTTCCAATCTTCTGTAAATCTTTGATCTTGTCGATTTCGGATCCTTCCAGTCAGTCTATCGAGTTCTGCATATTCCATCATTTTCATTCTCCATTCTTCTTTCGTACATGCCCTGGTTCCTGGTCCAGAAGGGACTCTGGAATCTTAGCTTTTGTTGTTGTTGTTTTAAAAATAAAGGTAAGTCCATTGGGCATCTGTAAATAAAGTTAGAAAGTAGCCCATGAAGACAATGTTCTAAGGCAAATATGAAGATGCTGTTGTTGCTAAGATCTGTAATAGAATAATAATAATTATTAATAATAATAATAATAATAATAATAATAATATATTATTTATACCCTGCCCACTGTGGGCAGCTCACAACTGAATATTAAAAACACAATATAGCATTAAATATTAAAAACTTCCCTAAACAGGGCTGCCTTCAAATGTCTTTTAAAAGTAAGATAGTTGCTTATTTCCTCGATGTCTGATGGGAGGGCATTCCACAGGGCAGGCGCCACCACAGAGAAGGCCCTCTGCCTGATTCCCTGTAACCTCACTTCTTGCAGTGAGGGAACCGCCAGAAGGCCCTTGGCGCTGGACCTCAGTGTCTAGGCAGAACAATGCGTATGGACATGCTCCTTCAGGTATACTGGACCGAAGCCGTTTAGGGCTTTAAAGGTCAGCAGCAGCACTTGGAATTGTGCTTGGAAACGTACTGGGAGCCAATGTAGGTCTTTCAGGACCGGTGTTACATGGTCTCGGCGGTCGCTCCCAGTCACCAGTCTAGCTGCCGCATTCTGGATTAGTTGTAGTTTTTGGGTCACCTTCAAAGGTAGCCCCACGTAGAGCGCATTGCAGTAGTCCAAGCGAGAGATAACCGGAGCATGCACCACTCTGGCGAAACAATCTGTGGGAAGGGAGGGTCTCAGCCTGCGTACCAGATGGAGCTGGTAGACAGCTGCCCTGGATACAGAATTGTCCAAAATGACTCCCAGGCTGCGCACCTGGTCCTTCAGGGGCACAGTTACCCCATTCAGGATAAGGGAGTCCTCCACACCAGCCCACCCCCTGTCCCCCTTCTGCCTTGTCAGGATTCAACCTCAATCCGTTAGCCACCATCCATCCTCCAACCACCTCCAGACACTCAAACAGGACCTTCACTGCCATAGTCAAACCATTGTTGTTGAGCCAATAGAGGAAAGGATGCTGAGCACCCGTGCCTGGCTCT